TTGACTCTTGAGTAAACACACAGAAGTGCAAGAATCAAAGAAATACTGCCGACTTGAAAATCAAGCCTGTGGCCTACAACGCTGAGGAGCAGTGGAACGCAGAAATCTTCAATACTGTCATGGCTAGGAAACAGGCATGCCAAACAGAACAGAAGTGGTGAATGACCTTTACTACTGCACATTCCCCCCCCACCCCCCATCTTTTACTTAAGAAACTAATTTTTTTTTTTCCTCACTTGATTTTACCTTTTTATTACATTTTTTATTTTTAATCAGTATTACTATTTCACCTTTTAAGTGTATTTTCGGGTCAGTGTTCTACATTCTATTTTCATCTTTCCTTTAGCATCATTTTACTCTATCTCAACTTTACCTTTATGCCAAGACTCTTCACTTTTCTCATTTCGTTGTCCTATTTATCTTACCCTAGTCCTGTTTCAGATATTCCCTATTCCTTCTTCTCACACCGTTAAAATTTCATCCTACTTATATATCTAATTTCCAATCCCCTGCTCCAAGTCCATACAGACCTCTCTCTTCTTTCTTCACTATCCAAATTTTTTTCATTCTGTCCTTTTGATGTTGTTTGCTTGGTTGTTGATTATATTGGCTTTTTATACTTGAGATTTTCTTTTTGTGTATTTTATTTTTTGCTTCTGTTTTCCGCCGCCTCAGTTGATATTAGCTGTTTGTAGTTTGCATTCATCTCTAGGTATTTGCTGCTGGCATTTGTTGGAATTAAGTGGCTTTTCAATGGGAGTTTTCTCCCCATATAAATAGCTCCCCCCCCCCTTTTATTTTATTTTTTTAAAAATATATTTTATTGATTTTGTACAGAGAGGAAGGGAGAGAGATAGTCAGAAACATCGATGAGAGAGAGTCATCGATCAGCTGCCTCCTGCACACCCCCTACTGGGGATGTGCCCGCAACCAAGGTACATGCCCTTGACCAGAATTGAACCTGAGACCTTTTAGTCCCCAAACCGACGCTCTATCCATTGAGCCAAACCAGACCCGGTCTCCCCCCCCCCCACTTTTTTTCATTCTTTCTTTTCTCTTACTTTTTTCCCCCCCCTTTTCCCAATTTCATTTTTGCTCTCCTTTTTTTCCTCTCTCTTCTTTCAATATCCCATAATTCCCTTTTCTCTGGTCACCTTTATTTGGGGTTATAGTATCGCGAATTCATTTGTGTTCAGTGCCTTGTGTGTTCTGCCTTGATGTGTTATATTTTGTGCCTTTAAATCAACGCAGGAGGGAGAGAACTACATAACCAGACACACAGAGAAGAGAGATCCTGGTAGACAAAAAAACAGCCCACATATGAAAGAAAAGGAGGCATCACCAGAAAAGGAAGTAAACAAAATGGAGGTAAGAAATCTGTCAGAGAAAGAATTCAGAGAAATGGTCCTAAGGTGGCTGAAAGAATGGAATACAATTCAACAGTATGTGTAAGAACCAAGAGGAAATGAAGAACCAAGAAGAAATGGAAAATGACATTGCTGCTATAAAGAACTCAATAGAAAGCATCAATAGTAGACTAGAAGAAGCAGAGGACCATATCTATGAGCTAGAAGACAAGGTAGGAAAAGATACCAAGCAGAGTAGCTTCTAAAAAAAAAATAAAAAAATTAAAAAATTAAAAAGCAGGGAGAACTTCGAGACAACACAAAACGAAACCACCACCACATAATAGAGGTACCACAAGGAAAGGAAACTGAACAAGAAGTAGTTCACTTTTCAGCATTGTAACTTTTGTGAGGCTGGTAGGTCTTTTCATTTTTAATTATTGATAGGTTGGATAAAAAAGTACATTAGATTGAGTAGGAAAGGCAAAAAAAACATTCTGGGCCATGACCATTTTCCCCAGTAATCTCTCCTTTCTTCAATCTGTTGCTGTCTGGTAGCACCATTAAATGTTTGCTTCTGTTTCCATGGTTTGCCAAGACCAGATGAGGTTCATGTCTGTATATCTAGTCTCATTTAGTATTAGTATATGTGTTATAGCAGTCAGGCTGAAAAGGCTTTCTCATTAAACTTCTCAGTTCCTAAAATTCAAATTGCTAGAACTGGTCCCCTTCCCCTTTCCAAAGTGGGCAGACCACCCTTCATGCTGGGATGACTAGCTTTTCTCTATGAATCTCTTCAGTGGGAAAAAGTCAAAGGCTACATCAGTCTGGTCTTTGCTTCTTCACTTTACATCCTAGGTATTATTCTCCCTAGAGTCCCATGGCTTTTTCTATTTATCTTGCCTCAATCTATATTCCATTATATACTTATCAAGTTCTGAGCATGATGCCCTGAACAGACTATACACTCAGCAAATGGGAAATACATTGATAGGCAGAGATGACTTTATAAATTAGATTTAAATTAGACACTCCAACTTAGATTTTGCATGACACTGGCCCATAATAGTGAGGCCCAGAGTTGTGTCCCCTTATTAATAACCTTGTGATGTGTGCTCCAAAAAGTGCAGTGCAGCCAGGCTAGTATTAGTTGGAATAAATTATTCTACACCCATGCTACAGAATAGTACATAAAAAATAAATCTGCAAGGACTGACAGGAAAAAGTTTATGATATAGCATTAAAGGGGGGGGGGGAAGCAAGTCACAGAATACATAAATTTTTAACCCATTTGTTAAAAAAGAAAAAGAATCTAAGAGAATGAGAAAATGAGAGATGAATAAAAGAGAGATAAAACAATAACATGTTGAAAAAAAGTTCTTGGTTTGTTTTTTTTAAGAGTCTAAAAGAATATATACCAAAAATAAATAAATAAATAAATAAATAAATAAATAAATAATAAATAAAAATGAAAGAATATATACCAAACCATTAAGGAGTGAATACTCTGGGGAAGAAAGTGGAATTAGGACCTCGGGGTGCAAGGGGATTTTTATTTTTTACTCAAACTTACTTTCTGTATTCAGTCTTTATTAGTACATTTTTAAGGCAAGATGTACAAGTCTGTGAAAACACTAAAAATCGACCAAGGAGAATAAAAGAGCAATAATGAGAAAATTACATGTTAGGAACAACTACTAACACCTACAAAGATTTAAAGCAACTGACAATAAATTTTATTGTTTACTTGATGAAAGGCTCTGGACAAAGTGAAGACAATGGAGACAATGACATGTTTAAACTCCTATCATAAACGGATCTGTTACAAATTTCTAGCACATTAAAATGTAAAATATATAAAGAAAAAAACAAAAAATGTAAATATTTAGATATTTGCAGTAAAAAAAAAAAGTTTGTTCTAATTGCGTATTTAATTCTGACAGTAATTCAAAACACAAAATCACATTTCCCTAACCTTCCTTAAAATCTGGCTCTGGAGATTGCAGTATTAGAGAAGAGTGCAAAATAAAAACAGCTTCAGAGCTTAGCATTTTCCTTATTTTAATGCATCAAGGTGCAAAAATTTCAGTTCTAAAAAGCCACATTCAGTTCAATTGCTATATGCAGATAAATAAAACAGATTTGACAATGCTTTTATAATCAAACCCAACATTCTACTACAAGTATGTGTTTGTGTGTGCATGCATGTGTGTATACACACACATATATATGTATTTATTTTAGAAAAAAGGTACCTTGGTGAAATGCTTTTGAAAATATTCGCTTAATGCACAGTATGTACAAAACCGTCTATATAAAAATTAAATTATTTTTAATGAAATTCCATGTTCATTAAAACATCCCGCCTGAAAACTAATTGAAAGATACATAGGTCTACCTAATGGTTTCTGTCTGAAATCATGGCCAAGGCCATTCTCTTTCCAAGGGCTCTCTTTTCACCCACTCTATGTCACTAGTACTAATAAAGACAAATATTACACAGATGCAACCTGACACGCCTATGAATTATTACCTGGAGCTGTTAAAACAGGGGAATAGTTTATAGTTGCTACAAAGAATACTTTTTTTTCCTTAAAATATATTGTTTCTCTATTCCAAATTAAGCACTTACTTAAGACATTAAGAGGCTGATGAGCCACTCCATTTGGTGTCAATATCAATAGCCCTATAGGAAAGAACTCTGTATTGGAATAGCTAGAAAAGTTGCCACTAAAATTATAGTGCATCCTTCACCTGCATAGAATCAATTTGGCTTAATAGCTCTTTGCTCCCAGAACACCAGTCTGGAGTTCAAATATGCTCTTGAAGGTTCATCTCAGATATGAAAAAAACATCTCATATAGCAATATGAGGACATATAGGATAATAAAACCTGTTAAAATCTGTTCAACAAATTTTACAGCATCCCTCATCTAGAGTAGCTGCTAAAGGTTAAGGTGGGAAATGAGTATGGAAAAGACTAGGGGCTTTGAGGAGGTCAAATATTTACAACAATAACCATTTCATTAAGTCTTTAAGCAAATAACTGCAATAACCTGATACCTCTAGCTCATCATCCTACAAGCACTGAGAATTTGAAGCTGCAAAGGTGAAAAATGGAATACCCTTAGAAAAGGGGAACAGTCTGAGGCAAAAGTTGTAGGTCTGTAAATATATATTTTATATGCACACACAATTGTGTGTATTCTGTATACATTTATATACATATTCACAAGATGCCCTGCAGTGTAGTTTAAAAGACCTTTATCAAGAAACCAACTGATTCGGTCCTAGAGTTCATACTACCTATATAAGAAACACAGGTGCATATATTCACATAATGTAAACTGTATCAACAAAAACATTGCTATTAACACAAGGTTCAAGAGGTGTTACCAACCAGCGATGTAATCAGAACATTTCGTATACTGAGAAACAAAATGAAGAAAAATATACAACTGGCTTTCAAATTCACACAAAAAAAGAAGTTAACAGGGCAAGTCAGAACGAAGTTAAAATTCCAGAGTAGGGAAAAATATCAAAACCTTTAGAAATATCTTGGTATGCAATTAAATTACTGCATCAATTTTAGAAAAATAGACTCAGAATTAAATGACGGTGCAAAGGATTCTCTCAACACTTCTACCCATATGTTTATCTTTTTCCTCTTTTGTTTCCAGCTGGAGGTTTCTTCAACTGAAGAAGTTGTCCTCCGGTTCCAAAACCTGCAGAGGCAGGATTGGACACCCCAAATGTCAAACCAGCTGATGCCGTGATGCCAGGATTGCTGAAGTTAAACCCAGATGTACTTGAGCTGCCAAAGCCTTATGGTTAGGGAAAAGAATATTCATATCAGAAGTTAAGTCACAAAAAACAAATATAAAAAGTGCGGATGAGAGGCAAAGTTCTAGCTACAAGAATATATAATCTATAGAAATAGTACCTATCATATGGGCCTAAATTTCTAACACAAAATTTTATAAGAAAACAATTTTAAAAATAGCTAAGTGGCACCAATAGGGACAGAAGTTTAGTCATCCAGGTCAAAAGAGAAGTGTTAGTACAAATAACTAAAATTGCCACTTTCCTGGGAATTCAATATGCCAAGGTGCCTTCCTTCTCAGCTCCTCCAGAAACATTTTATTAACATGTTAAAGATACTTTCACAACATTTGGACCCACGCTTGCAATTATAAGTTCTTTAAGAAAACAACAACCCACAATTTTTAGCACAATACACCACTGAGTAATACCTATTGTTTTGATTTTGTAAGAACCCTGTGTAATTAAGAGCAAATACTATTACTGTCTAGTTAACATATTTATAATTCTGATACCACTGAATTCTACTATCTTACTCTGTTGAAACTTTAGACGCTATTTAATATTAAACAGAATTCGCTTCAAATTTCCTCAATTTCAACACAATTTAACTGACATTACATCATTAATTAGACCTACTTTTTATCACTGGATGTTGCACATAAAAAATAAGTCATTATTTACAAATATACAGAAAATGCAAAGTAGAGAGTTTTTGGAATTTTTTACTGGAAGAGTTAGAAGATTATATCTATAATGAACAAAGAAGCCAATTGTAAGATGGAATGTAATAACTAAAAATTGCTTTGGAAGAAAAACCATTCTCCTGAATGAATGATAAAAACTGGGTTAAAACTTAAAACCCAAATGGGTTCATTTTTATAATAATGAAGAAAACTGTTTAATCATGAAGCTAGTCTTTGGGTTCAAAGAATCTCTTAGTTAAGAAAGGACATAATTATTGATTTTATCAAACTAGTTAAGTGTTGTTAGAAATATTTTATAAACCTGACATTTAGCTTATGAGATAAAGCTGTATGATTAGGCTTGCATACATCTTCCAGAGAACAGAATCTAAGCCAGGGATCTTTTTTGGATATTGGAAATAACAATACTTATGCTTTTAAATTAAATACTTTGTACCATAAAATGTGTCTGAAATTCAGACTGAAACACACAAACCTGCACTAAGACTTCCTGAGGGTTTATTTGTTGTTCCAAATCCAAATGTGGAGGCCCCTGTGGTGCTGCATCCAAAACCAGAGCTAGTTCCAAATCCTAGTGGAAGGGCAATAGAGAAATATACAATGGCATGTAAAACACAGGTTAAAGGATACTAAAAAGTAAAACCCCAAATTATCAAAAGGTCTAATGAATACAGTGTTGAAAACATATAACCTTATGAAGAATATCTGCTATTTACACCTTTGCCTAAGACTTCTTGGGAAAGAACCAGATGAATTCTGAAATAAAACATTTATATGTATTTAGACTAAGTTTATGACCCATTAGTAATTATTTTTTTTTAAGATCCTTTCCAATGAACTAGAAATTTTAGTAATCATTCAAGCATGATTTTAGTCAAACAGAAATAAACAGATTTACTTGGGGATATTTCATTATGAAGAAAAAAAAGGTTACATTTATAGTAAGCATGACATCCATAGTAATTTAAACCAGAGTCCTGCAAGGTGATTTTACTCTGCTTTTTTACCCAAACACTTTCACCTTGCCATTGAAAAACTGCATAACTACATAATAATCAATAGTAGGCTGTTGCCATAGCATCAACGAATGTAATGAGAAAATGGGAGGGGGACCATCATGTTTTGTCTTAGTAATAGGATACTCACAATTTAAAAAATATTTTTCATTATATAAATCCCAAGAGATTTTGCTAGAAGACTCATTTTCATTCTGCTAAAAGCCAAGTGCTTAAAAAAATTTTCAAATTCTTTTTAGGCTACTTTATAATCTAAAATATTGAGTTTGATAGTCTTACTGCCTCTAACTCTAAGAAATATGATGGCAAATTGGATTATAAACAGTAAGAATTATGCTATTATAATTCTAGTAATTCCTAATAAGGTCTACTAAATAAAGTCATAAAGCTTATAAACGTCCCCTCTTATGATGATACTAGAGGCCTGATGCATGAAATTCATGCAAGAGGCGGCCTTCCTTCCCCCGGCTGCCGGCACCAGCTTCTCTCTGGCACCCGGGACCTGGGCTTCCCTCACAGCCCTGCTCATTCAGGTTGTCCAGAGGACGTATGGAAGAAGTTTGGTCTAATTAGCTTATTACCTTTTTTTTTTATTAGATGCACAGTTTAGTGGAAATAATGAAACCTTATTCATTATATGACAATGTGCTCCATAAAACACAATCAATTTTCAATCATCCAGATCAGGTAATTATGAATGCATTTGTATTTAGCATGTTTTTGCAGACTTACCTTACTAATTAGAATTAACTTATGAAACTATTAAAATAAATGCAATTGCTAGGTATACAAATATGTGCATAGGCAAATATACCAAAAGAAGTTGAGCTGTTCAAATATACAATTAAATTATTTCCCCATTTAAAATGTCCATTTTCAGAAAAAGGTAATGATTAGGTGACTGTATGATTAGGTGACAGAAGTATTATAGTTTGGACTCCAAATTATGTTAAGACCATTAATTTTTTTAAGTTAAATTTATTGAAACTAAATAATTTTCAAGATCACATTTTAGCATATCGCGTTGAATATAAGACCATCCCTGCCATTTAATTTTAATACTTTTTAATATTCACTATTCACAGATAAAATGATTTCTTAGGTTGTAAGTATAATATTAGGCAGCACAGATTATGTTTGGAGAATTGTTTTTAGTATATGGAAACTTAACTTCCAAAATAGTAGATCCTCTTAGAAATTTTTTACAGGCTAGTATCAATGCAAATGTATAATAGTGTAATGCAATTATTAGAAAAGTTAAAGTGTACCTCCAAGGTTTGAAGAACCTAAGCCACTTGATTGCAAGCCAGTGCCAATACCTGAGCCGAATGGCGTTCCAAAACTAACTCCCAGAGATGGCTGTGGCCCTGGTATAAAAAAAAAAATAAAAAAAATGGGAGGGGGAAAAACAAATTTGCCTTACTCTTTCAAGATTAAAGTTTTAAGAAATTGTTTTTAAAATGAACAGTAATAACTTGAAACAAATTCTATTTGCTAAAACTTAGTTTTCAGGATGTCTTCCCAGCCTAATTTATTTGTCTCAACTGATTTACTTATCCCCCATTTTTTTTTTAATTAACTAGTTCACACTAGACAATTAAGAGGTTACTGCACTGAAAGATGAATGTTAGTGCTAAATAATTTGAAATCTTTAATGTATTGTATAGTTCTTTCATAGTTTTTAGAATTATTTTAGATCTCCCCACTTGCTTTCTGATAAAATTAGTTGGTGTAATCAGTAAAGGTTTTTTACTTTTTTTCTTTTGAAAACAAGCTCCTTTCATTAGAGTCAAGTCTCAATTGATCAAAAGAGACTGAGGCTAACATGGCAAAACTATCATGTTACTTCATAAGAGTAAGTACCCAAAAAACTAGGCATGATCTTTTTAATAAAATATAAATCATATATATACAGTAAGTAGATAAAAAACAAGACAGTGTTTTATTTTATTAAATTTATTGTTCATTTTAAAGCAAATCAATTACACAGTAACATGACAATTCCAAATTATTCACAAAAAGTGATAATTAAGTCCTCTTGTTAAGCTCTGTGCTACATTACACCACTTATCACCTGATTAAATAAGATAGATAATGAACATTTACAAAGGCACTGCTGTGTACCTTGACAGATTCAATACATTCAAGATTTCAATTCAGAAATTTCTTTGCAACATTTTGGAAAATGTACTCAGATGCAGATTAGTCATCCTTTTCCCATTTGTTACTTGAAAGACTTTAGCTGAGTTTGTTTGGCAAGAATAGCATTAAACTTGCCTCTCATTTTTAACTATATCCTTTTAAAATTAAGCAGACTACAAAAATCTAAAAATCTCTCATTTGATAAATAATTTATGAAAACTATTCAATAAATTTCATAGTACAATCTTCAGTCTTGTCTTTTTCAAGCACAGTGATCAGTGCATCTCAAAGTTGAGGGATCTGCCAAAGTAATATACAGATTAAAATTTAAAATTTTCAAAGAATTCAAAGCCTTCAAGTTGTTCAATGAATGAGGTTTGTATATTCAAAAGGTAGTGTAAATTAATAAAGCATTAAAAAGAAAACTGAAGAACTACATTTTGCCACTCTGGGACAAAAACTGGACTTTTCAAATAGTTTCCACCCAAAAAATAAAAAATAAGAACTAACAGCAGCCAGAGTTCTCATACTACTATTAAAAAATAAATTTAAAAAAAAGTTTTAAAAATTTACACCCAGTTTGAGATCAATTTGAGAATAAAATACTGATGAGCAGCTCTTTTGTAAAATGTTACTATAGGAAAAAGAAACTAAGCATAGTAACTCTTATTTATAACAAAAATACTATGTAGAAAACACATGTCCAGTTTCTTTAACATTGAGAGACTTAAGTGTCACATATTAATAGGAGGCACTGCTGGTGGAAGACCCTAAAGAATAATGCACACCACAGCCCTCAGCCCTACAAGTCATAAGAGTTACTCCAATAGCATGCTTTTTATTGAGAGAAGGTCTATTTTTAAGAGCAACTCTAATCACTGATATTCAGGATGTAGGTAACAAAGAACTCTAAAGATGACAAGACTTTCCATTGCACAACAGGTACATGATATTTGAGTTTTGTACCTTCATACAAATTCTGAAGGCAACATTATTTATAAAACTAGTAGGCAAATGTATAACATTTTTAATAGTTTAAGACTCATAATAAATATCTCCCATGCCAAAGTATTAGCATATATATTATACTCTGGCCAGCATATAAATTAGTTTCATTATTAGCAAGCAGAATCTAAATCCCTCAGGCAAAAGTTACGTAAACAATTCAAGAAGTTTGTTTTGAAATCTGAATACTCATTCAATGAGAGGCTCTTAGTGCCATAAACAAAACCAAGTTAGTAGTAATATATTCCAATGATTGCCCAAAGTGAAATCTTCATGTAGAGTAACATTTTACAAAAGTTATGGTATAATAGACTCACACACAACAAAATCAAGTTTAATACTGTTAATTCATATTTTTCAGAATAAGTTCTACCTTTTAAAAAGTAAAATTGTATTCACAGGAAAAGGACTAAAGTGCTAAAATTTTTAATAATTTTCACTGACCACTCAAAAATACCTAATGTAATTTGGTCATATTCTAAAATAAGTCATATCTTAAAATAATATTTCTAAAAAAAAAACACAAAAAATGCCTTTCCCCAATTTGAAAATTTTCCCTTACTGATTTAATAGGGAATGTTCCTTTGGTTATAAAATACAACAAAAATCATAAAGCCACAGGAAACTAAAACAAAATACTTAGTCTCCTATTTAATACTACATCTTAAATGTCCAAACCTACACTAACAGCTAGAAAGTAGGAATTCCTACCAAAACATCTCAGCACTCCTTGAAAACAGCAGCTAAGTCACATGAGAAAAGTCTTATTTATGTAAACATCAAGAACTTTCAAAAGTGTCAAAACACAACAGCAAAACTTAATCCCAGCACATTAGCTTAAAACAATCTACCCTAAATTAAAATTATACTGAAAAAAGCCTAATGTAAATCTTAAGCTTTTAAAGAGGCTTCAGAAATACCGGTGGGTAGAAAAGTGTACTCAAACTGTACCAGCATATAATTTACCATGTATTCATGCTTATTTCATACATAAATAGCCTGCTGGTTTTTCCTCAATTCTCTTCAGCCTTCAGAAGCAATTAAGCATAAATCACACAATCTAAATCCTGTTACATTTTAATTAAAAAACATCAAAGAATGATCAAGAAGTCACTTAAGTGCATACCTTCACATCAAAGAAAGACAACACAAAAACCACCTTCACAAGGTAGTAGCCCAAGAAGCTCTCTGCTTTTTTACATTAATGAAGTCAAGATTCCATATGCAAATAAGAGCAAAATGCCTCTAACAACTCAAATTTTGTACAGATCAACAGTGATATATAAAAATAGCACACAAGCTTTATCTGGCTTCATCTAGATGGTTTTTAAAAACTGTTACTGGTATTTAAAAAGATTTCATCAAGCCGAAACCAGTTGGGCTCAATGGATAGAGCGTCGGCTTGGGGATTGAAAGGTCCAGGGTTCGATTCCGGTCAAGGGCATGTACATTGGTTGCGGGCATATCCCCAGTAGGGGGTGTGCAAGAGGCAGCTGATCGATGACTCTCTCTCATCGATGTTTCTAACTATCTCTCTCCCTTCCTCTCTGTACAAAATCAATAAAATATATTTTTTTTAAAAATTAAAGAAAAAGATTTCATCAAAGTCACAGGACAGAGGAATAAGTCGTTTGAATAATACAATTAATAGAGGTGTTTCTAAACAGGGTGTAAAATAAAAACATTAACAGACTTCATAAATCTTGCTACAGTGGTGGCATGACTAAATTAACTAATATCTTAATGGGGAGAAAGCATTAAAGAATGGACTATGGAGCCTGGTAGACCTTTAGAAAAACAAAAGGAAAAAAGAAAAAATGAAAAACAGTTGTTATGATTGTTCAGCTTCTCAGTTCTAAAAATTCATACAACTCAAAATGAAAACTCTAAGACTTTTTAGGTTGATAAATTACAATTCCTACCATCTGATTAAAAAATCCTTGTGTGGGTTTCAAAACTGCAGGGAACAGAGAAAACAGTCAGTTCCCCCAAAGTCTGACAAAAGTCACAGACAAAATTAAAGCATATGAGACAACTAGAGGCCCGATACACAAAATTTGTGCAGGGGGAGGAGGGTGCCCAACCTGTACCCTCTCCAATCTAGGACCCCTCAAGGAATGTCCAACTGCCTACCGGAATCGGGCCTAAACAGGCAGTTGGACATCCCTCTCATTACAATCCAGGACTGCTGGCTCCTAACTGCTTTCCTGCCTGCCTTCCTGATTGCCCCTAACCACTTCTGCCTGCCAGCCTGATCACCCCTCAACCACTCCCCTTCCAGCCTAATTGATGCCTAACTGCTCCCCCGTAGGCCTAGTCACCCCCAACTGCCCTCCCCTGCTGGCCATCTTGTGTCCACATGGGGGCAGCCTTCTTGTGTGTTGGAGTGATGGTCAATATGCAGATTATTCTTTTATTAGATAGGATGGCTCCTCAACATGATTACTCTAAATTAAGCTACATTCTCCATCATCACAGAGAGCAAAGACCACACCTATAATACTATTTATCTTTGTATCCCCAGAACCTAGCACATAATAGGCACTCATATTTAAAGAAATGAACATATATCTTCATATTATCCATAAGCCCAAAATGTATGAATGAAAACCTACCAACCTAACTTAGAATGGAAATTCTTTATGTGTAAGAAACACTTATCCAAACCTATGCTTATCTGATCTACTTCAGGATTGATATTGGCTCTAAAAAGTAAATTAGGACTATGGTTGGTCTGATTAATTGGTTAAAGAATCATGAGAACTGAGGATCATAATTATGGGGTCGAGAGGAATTCAATCCCAAAATGATTTTTTCCTCCATAACTTGAAGATGCAACCCTACCTTCCAGTCAGCAAGGGAATACTATACAGTGCTTCTATGAGCCACTATTCACATGGGTCCAGCCATGGAATGTGGAGGGATGTGAGAGGCATAAATCCACCGGCAGCCTTTTACTGATGGGAAGTCAATTCTGTCATCTCCAAATGTGAAGAACAATTTTTTAAACTGCCAATAATGAGAAACAGGGAATGCTTTCCTGTAGAGGCAGCCTGAATGCAATCTACATAACTTTTTCTTTTTCTTTTTACTTATTTTGTACTATAATTTACTACTGGAATATATAGAACTCTCAGTAGGATACATGCTACAGAATAGTAGGCTTTACTAAAAAAATGTATGAATGAGTAAAAAAAAACCTCAATATCCATTAAGACTGTATTTTTCTATACTGAACTTCAAGCTTAACAAGAAAGGAACTTCAGTAGTAAAAGTCAAGTAGCACTCTCCGAAAGATCCAGGACCAAACTAAACACTGCGGAACTGACCACAAATACGATTCTCTCTAAAAGTGGAATTATACCAAGGACTAAAATAATCTACATTCCAGTATCTCACCAATGACTTACATCTGCTCAACTTTCTATTCACATTTCTTAATGTGCAATACAGAGCATCTCAAAACATCTTTTTTCTGCTCTTGCTTTGTTCATTTTGAAAATGCATAAACAAGTTTAGCATATACTTTCTTCCAAATTTGAGAGGGCCTGTATTCTTTCTTGTCATTATACATATAAACAAAAGTATTGGCCTTCAACACACCTTAAGTCAATAAAAACAGACTTCATCCTGAATGCTAGTATTCTGTAATCACTATGTATGAAGAAATAAGAATGCACCATATATCAGTATCATACATGAAAACTGCAATGTATGGCTGGATTATCTGACTTTAAATAAATGATACAATCACAATTTTAGAATCTATTACTTCTAAATGTAATTCAGTAGTGAAACACCATGTTCTAAAGGGTATTTATAGCAATACAGCAAAGAACATTAAGTAAATTCACAATATTCAATATCTCATTGCTATATAATTATTGCTAAGACTACCCTGCGTTTATCAGGTATGTTAATAATTGTGTCCATCACAATTTTTAGATTGTATTGTATTCATAGAAATTTTTCAGTGCTAACACAAGGAAGACTTATAAAAATGCACATAAATATTCTGCATTTTAACAGTAAGAAGCTATAACTTGAATGCATTCAGACCTGTAGCAGGCTGTTGCTGCTGTGTAAGTGTTGCAGCCATGGCTACGGCTGCTGCATTTGGAATGGTGCTGAAAGGGGTGGGTCCCGTAGTAACTCTGGGGGCATTCTGCCACTTCTTGACTTCTGCTCGCCTGGCTTCAAACACATCCACAGCATCTCCCAAGAACATCTTTCTGTAGCCAAGGTACTGTTCCTTGAGCACCTACAAGAATGAATAAAGAAAAGGTTAATCAAGCTTTGTGTTGATTTTGATAATATGTGAATGAATATATTGAGACCTGGTGCACGAAATTCGTGCACGAGGGGGGAGGGGAAGCAGCGTGTGTCTCTGAGCCCAGCCTGCACCCTCTGCAATCTGGGACCATTCGGGGGATCTGGCCTAAACCAGCAGTCAGACATCCCTTTCACAATCTGGGACAGCTGGCTCCTAACCATTCTGCCTGCCAGCTTGATAGCCCCCTAATTGCTCCCCTGCTGGCCTGATTGATGCCTAACTGCTCTCCTGCCAGTATGATTGTTCCCAACTGCCCTCCTCTGCCAGCCCGATCACCTCCAACTGCCCTCCCCTGCTGGCCCAATCACCCTTAACTGCTTTCCCCTGTGGGGTTAAGGGACACTCAGCTAGGCGACTCCAGCTGGATGAAAAGGGGCTAAGGGGACTGGGCGCCGCCGATCTTGTGGCTGTGGGTGCCGTCATTTTATGAGGTCCAGGAAGCGCAGAGAACCCCAAACAAAAGTATCCAAAGAGGATCACACCAAGACACATCATAATTAAAATGCCAAGGGCAGCCGAAACCAGTTTGACACAGTGGATAGTGTGTCGGTCTGCGGACTGAAAGGTCCCAGGTTCGATTCTGGTCAAGGGCATGTACATTGGTTGTGGGCACATCCCCAGTGGGGGCTGTGCAGGAGCAGCTGGTTGATGTTTCTCTCTCATCAAGTTTCTAGCTCTCTATCCCTCTCCCTTCCTCTCTGTGGAAAATCAATAAAATTTAAAAATTTAAAAATGCCAAGGGCAAAAGACAGAGAGAATATTAAAAGCAGCAAGAGAAAAACAGTAACCTACAAGAGAGCACCCATATGATTGTCAGCTGATTTCTCAACAGAAACTATGCAGGCCAGAAGGGAGTGGCAAGAAATATTCAAAGTGATGAACACCAGGCCCGGAGCAGCCAGGCCAGGAGTGGCCAGGCTGGGAGTGGCTGGGCCTGGAGCAGCCAGGCCCAGAGCAGTGGGTCGGGAGCAGCTAGGCCCAGAGCAGCAGCAGCAGCCAGGCAGGGAGCGGCCAGGACCGGAGTGGCCGGGCCTAGAGTAGCCAGGCCCAGAGCAGCTGCAGCCAGGCCCGGAGCGGCAGCGGCCAGGCCCAGAGCAGCAGCAGCCAGACCCTGAGAAGCCAGGCCGGGAGTGGTCAGGCCCCTGGGCACAGAGCAGCTGGGCCCGAAACAGCTGGGTCGGGAGCAGCCAGGCCCAGAGCAGCAGCATCCAGGCCCAGAGTGACAGCTACCAGGCCCCAAGCAGCAGCAGCCTGACCCGGAGCAGCTGGTTGTGGAACAGACCAGAGCAACAGAGGCCAGGCCTGGAGCAGCCGGGCCTGGAACGGCTCGCTCCTCGCCTGCCCATGCCCCAGGGCTGCTTCTCAGACATGGCTGGAAACTTTTGAGGGAACTTGAGGGTCTGCTGAATCAAGTGATGAAGGCTTAGATCTGGAAGAGTTGAGTTGTTGTAGTGCTGGGGTGTTGATCTGTGAGTGCCTTGTGTGGGGTCTGGATGAGGTTGATCTATTTGGAAGTGTCTTTTGTGTGAAATGTATCCTTGGGCATATGGAGGTATTACTGATTTGATAAAATGGTATTTGATTGATTTACTACCTGAAAAATTTAAAGTTCTGAAAGTTTAAGGTCTTTTGCCAAAAAGAGGTTTTAAAGCTAACACCTTAATTTCAATGGAGAAAGGGGAGGACAAGCCCTTCCCACCCAGAACAGGTAATCCAATTCCAGCCAGCAGCTATCTTTTTAAAAAAATATATTTTATTGATTTTGTACAGAGAGGAAGGGAGATAGAATGTTAGAAACATCAATGAGAGAGAGTCATCAATCAGCTGCCTCTTGCACACTCCCTACTTGGGATATGCCCGCAACCAAGGTACATGCCCTTGACCGGAATCGAACCCAGGGCCCTTCAGTCCCCCAGCCAATGCTCTATCCATTGAGCCAAACTGGTCCCGGCCAGCAGCTATCTTTAAACAATGTGTTCATTTACATTTGATAGCCTAAGGGCAAGTTTACATGTAAACAAGTTTGCTTCTCGGTTCCCAAGGCAGAAAAAACAAGGTTTAAAATTATTAGATTTTAAAATTTATTCTAAAAAAATATAAAAGTTTATTAAAACAAAACAAAACATGGAAATTAAAAAACCTGATGAACAATATTAACTTGATTATAATAGAATCAGAGATACGGGAGAGGAGTGGACTGACAGTTCTCGAGGAAAGGGGGAGTGGTGGATGTGGGAAGAGACTGAACATAAACTGTGCACCTATGGATGAGGACAATGGGGGTTGGGGCAAGGGCAGAGGGAGGGGGGGGAACCTGGTGAAGAGGGGAAGAAATGAGGAACCTTTGTAATAATATGAACAATAAAGATTGATTTAAAAAAACAAAAACAAAAAAACAACAAAGTGATGAACAATAAGAACCTACAACCAAGATTACTTTACCCAGCAAAGCTATCATTCAGAATTTAAAGTCAGATAAAGAGCTTCAGAGATAAGAAATGGCTAAAGGAATTCACCACTATCAAAACATATAAATGTGAAAGGTATTCTTTAAGAAGAGGAAGAAGAAGAAAAAGGTAAAGATAAAATTATGAACAACAGCCGAAACCGGTTTGGCTCAGTGGTAGAGCATTGGTCTTCGGACCGAAAGGTCCCAGGTTCGAATCCGGTCAGGGGCATGTACGTTGGTTGCAGGTACATCCCTGGTGTGGGGTGTGTAGGAGGCAGCTGGTTGATGTTTCTCTTTCATCGATGTTTCTAGCTCTCTATCTCTCTCCCTTCCTCTCTGTAAAAAATGAATAAAATATATTTTTTAAAAATTATGAACAACAAATACATATCAATAAGTGAATATAAAAAAAAGTGAATAAAAAATCTGATGAACAGAATAAACTGGTGAATAAAATAGAATCAGGTGCACAGAGAGTGGACTGACAATTCTCAGGGGGGAAATGGTATGAGGGGTGTGGAAGAGATTGGACAAAAACTGTATATCTATGATGAGCACAGGGGTGGGGGGGGGGTAAAGGCAGAGGATGGGGTGGGAACTGGGTGGAGGGGAGCAATGGGGGGGAAAAAGAGAAACAATTGTAATCTGAATAAAAATTTATTTTAAAAAATTAAAAAACATACACAAAATAACCTGATATCACTCATGATTTATATAATTCATAATTAATGTATAATTTTGTTAAATGTCACTGAGCCTTACTGGATCAGGTAATTTCAGGCTGTTTCAACAAATTTTCTCATGAAAATATTTAAAAAAAACACCTCTTGTGAGGTTTCTATAAGAAGTCCAGAAATCTAATGCAGCTGAAAATAAATGGCAAACAGAAAATCTGATCATGGAAAATCCTTTGGTTTTTGAGAATATATATTAAAAAAAAAAAAAAAAAAGTGGTCAAAATTTCATATAAGGGAGTTTTCAGCCCAGCCGGTGTGGTTCAGTGGTGAGCACTGATCCATGAACCAGGAGATTAATTTGTTGTGGGGCGTTCAGGAGGCAGCAGATAAATGTTTCTCACTCAGCTATGATGTTTCTCTCTCTCTCTGAAATCAACAAAAACATATTTATAAAAAACAAAACATTCTTTTGTCCCAGAAGTGAACAAATAATTCACTTGAGTCTAGATATCCAGAAAGATAAACTGGCAATAAAAACTTACCTTTACATTTTCATGAATAGATTGAAGTTGTGCAGCTAAAGCTACAAATGTCTGATAAATTTTCTGCATAGCCATTGACAAATCTGTAAGAGAAAATTATATTATCACACAAATATATACGATCAGTATTAGTTTTCTATTTTTGAGTCGAATTTTTGGTATAATGTATAGAAGGAGAAAAAAAAAACACTACATCAGTATTTCCATGGATAAAAGAAAATAGCAGAGAGAAGACTAAGAGAAGGATGTCTGTATCAGGGATCTGGGGGAAGGGAGGAGTTCCTAAGACTCTTGTCCTTGTTAGCCTTATAATAATTCATAATGATTCATTTTATACTTATAGGTAATGAAGATCTAATCAAGGACTTTTAAGAAAATTTTCGTACGGCAGCTTAAGACAATTACCAGAAGCTATTTAGAGTATTTACTGTTTAATAACAGCTTAACCTCTCTCCTACAAAAAAAACAAACAATAAAAAAAAGAGTATAAAAAAATTACCACGGAAAGCATCTTACCTTGAGGAGCTATATGTGAATTATTTGCTTGAGTGGCAAGATGGTTTTCTAGTTCTTCAATCTGCTGTCTGTATTGCTGAAGCTGCACTTCAAACTGCTGAACCAAGATTCTGAAGTAGCTATATAAAATCATATAAAATCAGATCAAAAGGTTTAAAAACATAATTTTCTTTATATTCAAAATACCAAATAAATACAAGTGCCCATTGATGTAGGGCCCTTTGAATTAGTCTGAGATATAATGTATCTTTAAGTGGTGCAAATATTACTGAAACAAAAATCCAAACTCATAAGGTATCAAAAATAGATGTATATCCTTTTACTCCAATCATAAAAAAAAAAAAAACACACACAAAAAAAAACACAATTAAGGAATAAGCTAAAAAGCAATTGAATACTCTCCAAAAGTATCAAGGTCATCAAAAACAAGGAAAGATTGAGTAACTGTTATAGATTGGAAGAGATTAAATAGCAGTAACAACCAAATGCAATATGAATAGAATCTCAGTAGAAACAGTTCGTTAATGGAAAATAGTTATATAGAACAAAAAAAAGCACAGTAAAATTCAAGTAAGTTCTGTAGTTTGGTTAAATTATTTGTTCCAATGTTAATTTCATGTTATTATAATTACACTATGATTATGCAATATGTTAATATTAAAAGGAGCAGAGTAAGGGAAAAAATTCTTATTACCATTTTTGCATGTTATTTTGCTAAATCTAAAATTAGTTTAAAATAAAAAGTTTTTTAAAAGTTTGTTGGCCAAAACTGGTTTGGCTCAGTGGATAGAGTATCGGACTGGGGACCGAAAGGTCCCAGTTTCGATTCCAGTCAAGGGCATGTACCTTGGTTGTGGGCACACCCCCACCGGGGGGGGGGGGAAGGGGCCAGAGGCAGCTGGTCGATGTTACTTTCTCATCGACATTTCTAACTCTCTATCCCTCTCAATTCCTCTCTGTGTAAAATCAATAAAATATATTTTAAAAAAAGTTTAATTGTTCATCAGAATTTATAACCAAATACTTACAGTTCCTATATCTATAATCTGAAAACACTTAGTGTAGAATACAAAGAGTATGCAATTACTACTACTGTTACGATAAATTTAACCAGAGAATGCTGAAAAAATAGAAAGGGACCGTGAATATCATGCAAATCAATCTGAACATTATTCTATATGAAACTGAGAACTGTGAAAGCTTTTTGCAGTGCAAAATGATATGATTCAACCCATTTCAAAATTAGCTCAGATGGCAGAATAAAAAAATACAAGAATGAAGTATTAGAGGAAGTGCAGCGAGGAAGCACATCCCATGCTAATCTAAACAACACAAAAGAAATATCATTGTCATTCTTAATTTCCTGATTTTGATCATAATATCCTTATGTCTAAGAAATACATATTAAAGTACTTAGGCATAAAAGCATCATGTCTGCAAATAATTCAAGCTGTTCAGAAGGAAAAATGTATATATACTTAGAAAGCAAAGAACAAAAATAATAAAAATGTTAACATGTAGGGAATCTAGAAGGAAGATATATGGGAATTTTTGTCTTGTTCTTAAAACTTTTAAGTTTTAAATCATATCATAATAAAAATTTTTTTTTAAAGTTAGAGACGCCAAACAGACCTCTACACTTACAAGCACAGGACTTCATCTCATCATGCCTCAGGCCTAACACGGGAATAATCCCAGCTATAGAGGTTTTGTGGGAAATGAGATAAAGCATGTAAAGTGCTACTCACACTGCTTGGCATATGACAAGCATTTGAAAAATATTAACTAGTATTATCTCTAGCAACTTAAAGGATATAAATAGAAGATATGATATTTATCACATGTATGGTTACTACATGAATATACAAAAGTTGAGTGATGAAATTACAGGTGGATTATTTTAAAAGATATTTTTTTATTTCAGAAAGGAAGGGAGAGGGGAAGGAAGAGAGAAACATCAATGATGAGAATCATTAACTGGCTATCTCCTATACATCCCCCACTGGGGATGGAGCCTACAACCCAAGCATGAGCCCTGACTGGGAATTGAACCCCTGACCTCCTGGTTCATAGTTCGACATTCAACTATTGAGCTACACCAGCTGGGCCACGTGGATTTTTAAAAATTTTAATTTTACTTATCTACATTTTCTAATTTTTCTTTCTAAACTATGCAAACAACTAAGAGAGTTAAATTGCACTTATATACACTGTTTAAGAAACTATCATAAAATTACTTTTAAACTAGTGTCCCAGTGCACAGATTCATATATATTGAAAGGAAATTAGAAAAAACATTTTAATATTGCTATTCATGTCTTGCTAATGAAAAGAAAATAGGAATCTATCGAGTCTCCTATTTTCCTACTAAAGTACTTCTGTGAGGATCAAATGAGTGCGTTTGAGGCACAGGAAAACGCTTCACGAACATTTGGTTAAACTATAAAATGTTTGCACCTGGCTATAAAGCAGTTTGGATTCCTGGGCTGAAGAAACTCCGAGGCTAGTCTCTAGGGAGAAGAAGCTGGGCGTTGCTACGTGACATCATTACCTGGTGCCCACAGTGACTGTTTCCAGGGTGGGCTGGGCTGGGTTGTGGGCTGTACGATTTGGTGGGGTGTCACTTCAGGGCAGCGGTGAGACCTGTGTCCCACTTGGGGAAAGACAAGTGTTGGTTTGTGGGTGCCAGGTCTGTGGTGCTGTTTATTTTTAAATGGCCAATGTGTGTCATGGCAACTCCTGCGCTGAGCAGATGCTCCCTGGTGGTCAATGTGTGTCGTAGTTACCGATTGGATGGACAGACACTTAACCTTTTATATATATATTAAAAGACCTAATGAGTAAAACATAAATTTCTACTAATAAAAAATAAAAAAATAAACCCCAACGTAACATGTAATTGAAGTGTAACGATATAATAGTTAAAAGCTCAGTTCCCAGCTTTCACTTACCCTTCAATAAAATGAGGATAATAAACTACCCTCATAGGGTTATCATGAGAATTAAATGGAAAAATCCATGTCAAGTGCCTATTAACTCAGGCTTGCTACTAAGTAAACTAAAAATTCTTAGCCTGTATATTGTTTATATTGGTCTGCCTTTTTAAAGTGTAAAGGAACATTTGTTTTTAAAATTCCAATAACTTACTCAGCAGGAGCTGCATTTTCATGTTGGAGTCCAGGCGGTGTTTTCTGGGTTCTTAAAGCTATTTCAGCATTCTTTAACTCCTAAAATATCAGAGGTTTAAAAGAAAACAAAGGACCAGTTAAAAGTTAGGCTAAAAATACCAACTATCTCTGGTTTGAAACTTCAAACAATGTCATTCTTGGAAGTTCATGCTGTGAGAACATAATATGGATAAAGCCCATTTTCAAGTTGTTAAAAACCTCTTTCCAAAGAGAACAAACTATACTTTTAACAAACTTCATGATAAATTTATAAAGAGCTGCTGATTTATTTTAAAAACAATGAATTTCTGTAGGAGTCATGAAGTTTATTCATCCACAGCAAAAGACTGTGCTACTATTTAAAAATCTTTAAATGTAGAAAACACTTCTGTGAAAAAGACAAGGTAGTAGCTAATAATGTTGAGGCTGATGATGGTAGCAGTTAATATTCTGGGTACTTACTATCTATCAGGTACTTTGTTGAAGGCTTTACTTATCATGGTTAATCTTCAATAACCCTACAAGGTAGATATTACCCTATTTACAGATGTAAATAATGGAGTTAGAGACATTAAGTAATTTGCCCAAGGCCATGTAGCTGGAAGACCTGAGAACTGAACCTAGGCAGCCACATTTTTTAAAAACTGACATTCACAACCAACCATTCTTAAATTGCCTTTGACTGGTCCTCAATGCCATTTCTATTTCCTAGTTAACTGTTATTCAAGGTTAATATTCTGTTTTAACCCCTTACATCTCCCATTCTTATCATTTCACTGACTTTTCAACTTCTACTTGTTTCTCTTATTTTTTGTTTAAAGGATATTACCTTAAAACCTTTATATTCCCTGCAGCAATCTCTTGTCCTCATTTTATTGCCAAACTGTTAAGTCTCTGTTCTTCCTACCTCATTTTCATTCTTCCATCCTATCTGACTCAGTACAAATGTCCTGGAGAGGTCTAGACTATGCAAAACTCTGACCCCTGCCTACTTCTCTAAGCAATTACTCTTACCAGGCCCAGACTCACACTCAGTGCTCCTACTAATAAACTTGCAGATCCTCTAACATGCCTATTTCATGCCCCCATGCTTTTGCTTGTTATCCTTCCTTCCTGCCAGCCTCAGAAACACCTAAGTATGTTTCAAGAACCAACACAAAGATATCCTACTCCGGACAGATGATGAAGGTACCCCCCTTGAACACTTTGTGCCTCATACTACCTGACAGAGTTAACTCACTCCCCTAAAATATTGTGTTTTGATCTCAAATGCCTGTCGAAGTGCTGTATATAACAGATACTTAAAAATGTCCATTGAGCCGAAACCGGTTTGTCTCAATGGATAGAGCGTCGGCTTGGGGACTGAAAGGTCCCAGTTCGATTCCGGTCAAGGGCATGTACCTTGGTTGCGGGCATATCCCCAGTAGGGGGTGTGCAAGAGGCAGCTGATCGATGACTCTCTCTCATCGATGTTTCTAACTCTCTCTCTCCCTTCTTTTCTGTACAAAAATCAATAAAATATATATTTTTTTAAAAATGTCCATTGAATGCATGGCCTCAGCAATGTCGTCAACAAACCACTTTTCACTTGCCCTATCCCAAAATTTTAACCACCTTACTTATTTAAACTCTTGAGTTATATACTCTCCCAAAATGATGTAAGATTTTGCTTCCATAAGGTGCTGGTTTACATATTCACAACACTGCTCCTCACCTCAGGATTGCTTATATTTCCCAGAAAAGCTTTATCTGAAGAAAAGGTTTTGGTATAATAAGATCAATAACTACTTCACTAAGGGAGTCAAAACATTTTTTTTTTCAATTGGTAATTCACTAGACTATAGGTAAAACACTAATTCCTATATATGAAAAAATAAGAATAATCTTAGATCACATTTTTTTGATAGCTCCTATAAAATTTTCACATTTTTTTGATAGCTCCTATAAAATTTTCTAAACTCAATTCAGATTGTTTTTTTTTTTCCCCCCTTAGGAAAATTTTGACTCATATCTTCATTTGCCACCTTTATACTCTACCCCAGTGGTTGGCAAACTCATTAGTCAACAGAGCCAGATATCAATAGTACAACAATTGAAATTTCTTTTGAGAGCCAAATTTTTTAAACTTAACTTCTTCTAACACCTAAATAGACTCGCCCAGGCCATGGTATTTTGTGGAAGAAACACACTCAAGGGGCCAAAGAGCCACATGTGGCTTGCAAACTACAGTTTGCCGACCATGGCTCTACCCAATCTTTTATTATTTTATTCACCCCACTAGACTTTTAGAAACTTTAAGAGTTGTCATTTTTATCTCTAAAAGACATTATATTAACAAGTATGGTATGTAATAGGTTTTAGACAAATATTTATAAATGGAATCATCCAGTGTTAACAGTGTAAGAACCCCATTATAATATTCATTTATCTTAATTTTGCCTCCTCTATTACTTTGTTAATGACCTTTTCCATATAATTTCATATTTCCTATATGAAATCCACAATTTCATGTAATGTTTAATCAGAATATAAACATTCTCCAATCTAAAAGCACGTTTTCCTCCTAGAAAAAAAAACATATCTGAAGATATATTAAAAAAAAAAGAATGGGGAATTCTTTTCACATTCAACCAAAGAATTTGTGAGTAGGAAATTTGAAAGTAAACAATAAAGCCTTTGAATTTCCTTTAATATCATAGGTTAGAATATCTATTTTAGAAACACATTTTTATTAAAAACATCACAAAGTATTTTCCAATAGTTGACTTGAATACATATAAGCTGGTACAAACTTCCAGTTATAAGTCCTAGAAATGTACTGTATAGCACAATGACTATAGGTAATAATACTATACCACCTATCTGAATGTTGCTAAGAGAGTATATGTTAAAAGCTCTCATCATAAATAGTTAAAACATTTTTAACTATTTGTTATGATAGATGTTGACTAGACTTACAGTGGTGATGATTTGCAATATATACCTGAAACAAGTGTTATATCAATTATATTTGAATCTATAAATATAAAACCCTAAGTGATGACTGGTCAACTGAGTGGTCACTCTGATGCACACTGACCACCAGGGAGCAGACGCTCAATGTAGGAGCTGTCCCCTGGTGGTCAATGTGCTCCTACAGAGGGATTGCTACTCAGCTGACCAACGTGAGGCAGCTGCCGGGGCATGATCCTCTCGGCCTCTGTGGCAGTGCTATGGAGCTGCGGTGGCGGCAGCGCAGAGGGGGCCGGGATAAGCAGGAGTGGCGCAGCACCTTGCCCAGGCTTGGGCTCCTCCCTGGCTGCCTGCTGCTTCGCACACTACTACTTCCCTCAGGGGATGTTGGATTGCCAGTTTGGGGCCGATCCCCTTGAAGGGTCCTGGATTGCAAGAGGATTCAGGCCAGGCTGAGGGACCCCATCAGTGCACGAATTTGTGCACTGGGGACTCCATTTAAAATAAAGACACATAAGCACCTTAAAAATTTTTTACTTAAATTATCACTTCACTGATGAACAGAATAGCTCTCTGATAAGCCCACATTAAAAAAGAACTACAATGCTCAGCCTTAGTGGCTCAGTTAGTTGAGCATTATCCTGTGCACCAAAAGGTTGCCAGTTTGATTCCCAGTTGGGGTACATATGGAAGGTAATCAATTAATGTTTCTCTCTCACATTGATTCTTTTCTCTCTCTCCCTTCCTCTTTAAGCTTGTCCTCAGGTTAGGATTAAAAATTTTTAAGGTGCTTATGTGTCTTAAGCTGGCCAACTGTCCTCCCTTGCAGGCCTGGGTCCCCCCCAACTGTCCTCCCTTGCAGGTCTGGTCCCTATCAAGTGCCCTCCCCTGCCGGCCTGGTCTCCCCTAACTGCCTTCTCCTGCTGGCCTGGTTCCCCCCAACTGCCCTCCCCTGCCAGTCATCTTGTGGTGACCATCTTGTGTCCTAGAGTGAGTCAATTTGCATACTGCTCTTTTATTAGATAAGAAAGCCTCAATATCATACTTTTTTTTTCTTTAATATATTTTATTGATTTTTTTACAGAGAGGAAGAGAGAGGGATAGAGAGTTAGAAACATCGATGAAAGAGAATCATCGATTCAGCTGCCTCTTGCACACCCCCTACTGGGGATGTGCCCACAACCAAGGTACATGCCCTTGACCAGAATCAAACCCGGGACCTTTCAGTCCTCAAGCCGACACTCTATCCACTGAGCCAAACCGGTTTTGGCAATACCATACTTATTAACTAAGATCTAAGACTAGCAAGTCATCAGAACTTAATACCGCCGAAACCGGTTTGGCTCAGTGGATAGAGCGTCGGCCTGCAGACTGAAAGGTCCCAGGTTCGATTCCGGTCAAGGGCATGTACCTTGGTTGTGGGCACATCCCCAGTAGGGGGTGTGCAAGAGGCAGCTGATCGATGACTCTCTCTCATCTATGTTTCTATCGATAACTATCTCTCTCCCTTCCTTTCTGTAAAAAATCAATAAAAAATATTTTTAAAAAAAGAACTTAATACCTATAATGCATGTAATTTTATTTAATAACGGATAGGTTTTAAAAAGACATTTTCTGTCCAGCTATTTTCCTCCTGTATAACAATTATGCCCACAGACATTTCTACAAAATAAAATAGTAAAATAAGCTTTAGAATTAGAGTAACAAGATCTGAGTCCAAGCTCTCCTCCCACTTATTAACAAAGCTCTGCATGTTTTCTTATTTACACAATGAAAGTTAACAACAGTAGATATGACATAGAGCTGCAGCAAAAAACCCAGTTTAGGGTTAAAATGCATAAATTGCTCAGAATACTGCCTCCTCCATAGTATGCACCAGATAAAAACTACTAACTATTATTATAGCAATTTAAAAGTATATGAGCTATACAGTTTTCGTATAGCACTAGAGGCCTGATGCATAAAATTCATGCCAGAGTAGGCCTTCCTTCCCCGGGCTGCCAGCACCGGTTTTCTTCTGGCACCTGGGACCTGGCTTCCCTCTGGCTGCCAGCAGGCACCCAGAAGCCAGGCTTCCCTCACAGTCCAGGCTTTGTCCAGAAGGAAGTCTGGTCTAATTGGCATATTACGCTTTCATTATTATAAATGTTGTAATAAACTTTATGATTTTAAAAAAGAACTATTTCCATTAAAAAAAAAAGAGAACCCAAAATAAAAAAACATTATGATAAAATAACTTCAAATTAGTTTACCTGAGCAGTTTCTATTTTCAATTTGTCAATATTGAGAGTGTTTCGTTGTAATCCACTGGCAGCCAATGACAGAAGCTGCTTTAGAGCTTTAATATCTTCTTGTACTTTAAGCATTGCTTTTGAAGACATTCTACTAATTTCTTCTTGGACCTGTTTTTGTTCCTTCACAAATTTCCTTTAAAAAATAGAAAACTGAGTTTTTTAAAAATACACTTTTGGTCCCGTCCCCCCCACACACACACACACACAAAAAGTACATTTATAATAGGTTGGTCAGAGTCTATTAAGTAGCAAAAACTAAAAATTCATCTACAGCTCACATGCTTTTTTCATAAAATTGCAGCTACATAATTTTAATATCTATTGTTCTATTTTTACTCTAATTTCTAAACGCATTTAAAATTTTAACCAAAATAAAAATATTTAGGAAGAGATGTTCCCCCTAAAATATATTCTCCCATTTAAAGGTGATTTATGTAGTTATACTCGACACACTTACTGGAGATTTTCAACATCCTGGCAGATGACAGGAGGTAGATTTTCATCCTTCAGGGCTTTACTGTCCCTAAGAAAAATGCCACAGATGTATTAAAGTCATAAAAAGTTGTTAACTCAGCTTTACTAGAATGTGTTGATTCAAGAAAATAAAGCAAATATTCCCCATTTATAGCTTTCTTGCATGATTTTAAAGTTCTTTATAAAGAACAATAAATTTCCCGATCTATAAAATAGCTAACAAATCATGTGAATATTCCTTTACTAAAAAGACTGACATCTATGTAAATGTTTAGTCAAAGACTGGCACTTGACTAAACATTTGGGGGAGGAGGGAGAATGAGATACTACAGACTGCATGATATATTGAACTAAGTTCTCCCTGGCTCAAAAATTATGACTGATATTTTATTCAGTTCAAAAATATGAGAGCATTCTTTAAAGAAAGTCTCAACTTCTCATAATGAGATGCTCACAGCATTTTACCTTATTATTTTTAAACTTCAGTTTATTCTTCACAAAGTAGACCTAGGAATAGCTTAAGAGAATCAAATATTTAATGAAGGTAGGAATAAGTGAATTTGATAGGCTGTAATGGAATCATAAGTTAGACTTCAGGTGCAGACCCATTATTACTTCCTAAGTTTAGGCAAATCTCAATCTGTCAGCTTCCTTGTTTATATCACAGGACTAAAATACACAAAAAATATTTGGGAAGAGTGAACTTGATCACCTTTAAAAATGCTTTCTTTAACATAATGTAGCTTAAGTGAGAAAATATAATATATAAAAAAAATAATAATAAAATTGTAATATGCTAATTAGATTGGATAGTTGAATGACGTGGACGAAGCTGGGACTGAGAGGGCAGAGCTCCTTGCAAAAATACAGGCCTCTAGTCTATAATAATAAAAGCGTTAGTTCCTAGACAACCTCCTGGACGAAGCCAGGGCTGTAAGGGAAGCCCGGGTCCCAGATGCTTGCTGACAGCCAGAGGGAAGCCTGGGTCCCGGGTGCCTGCCGGTGGCCAAAGCCAGTGCCAGCAGCCTGGGGAAGGAAGGCCTACTCTTGCACAAATTTCATGCATCGGGCCTCTAATAAAAATAACAATCTTCAAATACATATATGATGTATATGGAGGCTATTATTATTCCTCTTCAACCTCAGGAAATAAATGGTACTGGCACAGTAATCTTCTATAATAATAAAAGTATAATATGCTAATTAGACCATACAGCCAAACAATCTTCTGGACGAAGCTTGTGCATCCAAGCATCTAGTTTATATATAAAAGGTACACACACACACACAAAATCACACATGTATATTTTCATTTAGATATATAAAAGGTGTTCCAAAAGTAAAGTTCCATGAATTGTTCAAATTTTAATAAGTTAAAAAAATACATACATATATTTGCATTATTTGTGGGAAAGCCAACCACTCCCTAGAAAGAACTGGCTATAAGTTTTCTTAAAGATTAAAATTTTGACTTTTTGTAATCTTCTAGGGAATATGTGTATTATTTTATTTTTTGACAAAGAATGGTTAAAAACTTTTTCTTCTAAATGCCTACATAGTTCCATGTATTTCCAACAATACCATTTACTTACAATTTAATAAGTAAAACTTTTTAATTACAATATTTTAAAAGTTAAATTGTAAACTTACTCTGGTCTTGTTCCTGTTTTATCACCTAAAAAATTCAAGAAAGTTTGTGTAAAAATAGGTAATTTAACAATATACTACTACGAATACAAGTTTTAAGTTAATGCAAACTAAGGTTTAGACAAAAACTGCTACGCATTTCTTAGACTGCTCCTTAAATAACATGACTTGTCACAAACCCCAAACATAGCAAATTATGAAGATATATATATCTATATATATATCTATATATAAAGAATTATGTATTTGATTTGCATTTTTTCTTTCAAGGATAAGAATTTTCTTTAATAAGACAGTGAGAAAAAGACAAATACCATTATGATTTCATATATATGAGAAATCTAAAGAATTAAGTAAACAATATAGAAACAGATTCATAGAGAAAAGACTGACAGCTATCACAGGGAAGGGGGCTGCAGGTGTGGGTGAAAAGGTGAAGTGATTAAGTAGTACAAATTGGTGGTTACAGAATAGTCACAGAGATGTGGATTACAGCATTGGAAATATAGTCAATATATTGTTATAACTACTGACAATAGATATGGGGCCAAATGGGTACCTGAAACAATGAGACGACCATTCTAAAGTACATGATTTTCTAACCAGTTTGTGACACATCCAAAAATATAGAATAATACTGAATGTAAACTGTAACTGAAAAAAAAAAATAATAAAAAGATTTGTTTTTAAAACTACCTTACATAAAAAATGTCCCTGCCTGGCAGTTTAATTCCTAAGAGCTTTACTTGATACTTTTTAATGCCTAATCAGTATGAAAATACTAAAATATGTCAGATTACCTGAACTTCTCTAAATATTTCATAAAAGTAACAAATTTTAAAATAAAAATGATTTTGTATCTGCAGAGCAAACAAAAGTTCTCACAGTAATATCTAAAAATAGAAAAAAGTGAAAGTGCTCCTTCAGCAAAGCAAGCAGTGACCTGTACGTTAAAGAACGTACAGAAACACACAAAAACTCAATGGTTCCTTCCAGCCTTTTTCTGCACATACACATTTTAATCATGTTGTTTTTTTTAATATACATGTATGTATGTTTTTATTGATTTTAGAGGGAGAGGAAGAAGAGGGAGAGGGGGGAGGAAGAGGGGAGAAAGAAAAGGAAAGGGAGACGGGAAGAGAGAGAGAGAAACACTGATCAGCTGCCTCCTACATGCTCCCTATTGGAGACTGAGCCTGTGACCCAGGCATGTGCTCTGACAGGGAACTAAACCGGTGACCTTTCGGTGCATAGAACTGCACCAAACAACTGAGCACACTGGTCAGAACCTTACACATGTCAATTAAAATGACTTTAAAAGATAACAGAGTGGATAGAAGATGTAGCTGTATCATAACCTTTATACCAACCCCCCCCCCTTTTTATTTTTTAGCAACAAATGTCTGTATCTATGTGTGCCCTACTTGATTTGCATTCTAAGAAGAGGAATTTATTGGTCAAAGAGTATGCCAGGGCAGGCCTTTGACATATTACCAAAATGATCCCTTATAACAACTGACCCAATTTACCTTCCCATGTACTAGGAATAAGATAAGAATATCTTTTCCATCACACTCTCAACATCAATAAACACAGTAAAAAAAAAAAATCATTGCTAGTATGTAAAAGAAAAATACTTCATTATAATCTTAATTCATATTCCTGATAGCACTAAGTAAAACATTTATTTCAAATGTTAATTAGACAAGTGCATTTTTTCTTTTGTGAACTACCTATTTATGCTATATTTTTATGATATTTCCCTTATTGACTTCTAAGAGCTATTTCAACATTAAGCAAATTAATTCTTATATATATATATACATACATATATATGTATATATCATATTTCATGTCTATTTTTTTTTCTAAGTCTTGCTGAAACAAGGCCACCAAATATTTTGGTAGCCTCCTAAAAAATATATTTAGGAGAGAGATTTTCATGTCTATTTTTAAAACTAGATCCTTATAATTGCAAGATACATCTTGATTTCAGAAATGTAAAATGTGGGAAAAGCAACATCTAGAAATCAAGTATTTTACCTGAAATTTGTCATTTACCTTTTATCTCTGAACATAGGGTTGTTTTGTTTAACTCTTTATTCCAATTAAGTTTTCCATATTTTGTATCTCATTGATTGTATACTTTTTTCCTTAGTTTGACATCCTTGTTCTATAAATACTGTCTTAGATCTGGTTAGACAGTAATATAAGGTAAGGATTTCATTTGTTTTCAAGTAGTTCAACTATTTTATTGACTAGTTATTATTTTGTTATTTCTTTGATATTCCATTTTGCTATCTTCTATATATATATAAAAGCCTAATACGTAAAGTGTCCCCTGAGAAGATTTGGAGTTTGATCACTTGCTATGATGTGTGCTGATCACCAAGGGGCAGCGTGGAACGAAGGTTCCTGCCAGCAGCTGGAAGGCCTTGATTGGCCCTGATCACTGGTGAGGCCTAGGAACCCTAGTATTTTATTAAAAAATTAATTAACACACAAACATGAGTATATAAACTTGCACATGTTTTGAGACTACTGTGGACTCCTGAGTAGTCTCCCTAGCTTGTACTTCAGTAATATCCGTGGCCTACTATAAAGGCTTCTTAACAGTTCTCCACATCTACTCTTGGCTTCCTACACATCATTCTCCACATGGTTGTCAGATGCCTTCTTAAAATACAGATCTCATCATGTCACATTATCCAGATCAAAACCCTTTAGTTGATCAGTGTAATTATGAAACTTAAAAAAAAATGTTTTTATTGATTTCAAAAAGAGGAAGAAAGGGAGAGGGAAAGAAACATTGATGTGAAAGAGAAACATCAATCTGGGCATCAAGCTCATAACCCGAGCATCTGCCCTCATCAGGAATCGAAATGGCAAACTCTTGGTGCATGGAATGATGTTTAACCAAGTGAGGCACACTGACCAGGGCTAATTACAAAATCCTATCATGGAATACAATGCCTTTCATGATCTCTGGGATCTAAATCTTTCTGTTCTGTAGGTATACTGGCCTTCCATCAGTCTCATCTCTAGGCCTCGTTCCATGCTGCTCACTCTTCACGGAATGCTGTTCCCTACTACGCTTCATCTGATTAAATCCCATTAATACTATAGGTCTACCTAATATCACTACTAGAAAAAGAAATCTCTTGACTGCCCTGACACATATAACAGATGAAGGAAAGGGGGATCTGATACCTACAGTCATGTGCCTTTATTATTCTACTAGAGGCCGGTGCACAAAATTAGTGCAGTGTGTGTGTGTGTGTGTGTGTGTGTGTGTGTGTGTGTCCCCTTTAGCCCAACCTGCACCCTCTCCAATCTGAGATCCCTCTCACAATCTGGGACTGCTGATTCCCGCCTCTTGTCTGTCTGCCAGCCTGATCAACGGCTAACTGCTCCCTGACAGCCCGATTGGCCCCAATTGCCCTGCCCTGCTGGTCCAGTCACCCCCAACTGCCCTACCCAACTGCTATCTGGTTGTCCAACTGCCCTCCCCTGCTGGCTTAGTCACCCCTAACTGCCCTTCCTTGCCAGCCTGGCAGCCCTTCCCTACAAGCCTGGTTGCTCCTAACAGTCCTCCCATGTAGGCCTGGTCCTCACGAACTGCCCTCCACTTCAAACCTGATCGCTCCCATAACTGTTCTCCCCTGCTGGCAGCTTTAACCACATGGGGGCAGCCAACTTGTGTTGGAGTGATGGTCAGTTTGCATATTAACTCTCTATTATATAGGATTATATAGGATACTAGAGGCCCGGTACACAAAATTTGTGCGGAGGAGTGTGTGTGTGTTCCTCAGCCCAGCCTGTACCCTTTCCAATCTGGGACTTCTCAAGGGATGTCCCACTGCCCGTTTAGGCCCGATCCCAATAGGCCAGGGTGGGCAGAAAGCTTGGCTTCCTCCATTACTGGGGAAACCCAAGCCTTTTGCTCTCTCCAACTCCGTGGCTGCTGGGGATTTTTGTTGGGATTTACTTATCTTCTACAATTAAAACTTTGTAGCCTTGAGCAAAGGCTAGGGCAGGCCAGGGCAGGCAGAAAGCTTGGCTTCCTCAATCACCAGGGAAACCTAAGCCTCCTGCTTGCTCAATGACTACAGCCATTTTGGGGGGATTTATCTATCTTCTATAATTGAAACTTTGTAGCCTTGAGTGGAGTCCACGGTTGGCCAGGGTGTGCGGGAATCTTGGCTTCCTCCATTGCCAGGGAAACCCAAGCCTCCTGCTTGCTCCGTGGCTGTAGCCATCTTGGTTGGGTTAATTTGCACACTAACTCCTGACTGGCTGGTGGGTGTGGCTTGTGGGTATAGCAGAGTTATGGTCAATTTGCATATTACTCTTTTATTATACAGGATGGGCAATGACTACTATACACCTTCAACCACTACTTCATTCTAAGTTCTGAGAGGATCAAGGCAATAGATATGTCTATACTCTAATAAGACATGCTTTCATCAGAATCAGAAAGGATGTTGTAAAACAAAAGCATACACAGGTCCTAGCTGGTTTGGCTCGGTGGATAGAGCATCAGCCTTTGGACTGAAGGGTCCCAGCCCAGGTTTGGTCCAGTCAAGGGCACATGCCTGGGTTGTGGGCCCGAACCCCAATGGGGACACGCGGGAGGCAGCTGATTGACAATTTTCTCTCATCATTGATATTTTTATCTCTCTCTCTCCCTCTCCTCCCTTTCCAATATCAATAGAAATATATGTTTTTTTAAAAATCATACACAGAACCAACAACAATAAAAAACTTTTCAAAATGAATTTGGCTAACTTTTAAAAAGAATATTCAGCATAGCAAGAGCACAGCAAGAAGAGCATTTTCCTACTCACTGCTGAGTACATAAATTGATAAAAACCTTCCTGGAAAACAATTTCACAACATATTCCAAGAGTCTCCAAAATGTCCCTGTCTTTAAACCAGTGATTCAATTTCTAGGTGTTTGCCCTAAAGAAATAACCAAAATATGTTAAAAAAAAATTTTAAATAAAAGCAAATGCTTAGACAGTATTTACTATGTGCCTTGCCCTGCCAAAGTTTTACAAACAGTAATCCTCAAACTAAACCTACAAGTAGGTACTGTTAGTTTCTCCCACTCATAGATACAAAAATAACTAAAGCACAGAGAGAATAAATAACTTGAATAAGGTCAGAAGGCTTGGAAATAGTTGAACCATAATTTGAACCCAAGCAAGTTAGCACCAGAATTGACATTCTTTAAATTACAATACTACCCTGATTCTCTCTATAAAGATGCCCAAATGCAGTGATACTTTCCAGAATAAAATAACTGGAAATAAACACTAACAATTAGATAATGGCTGACTAAATTGATATGTCCATTCATAGGATTAATATTAAGCAGCATTAAAATATTTTAAAATTACTGACATTAACAAATACTTGTGATATATTATTACATAAGAACAGGTTTCAAATAATATATGTCATGCTCTCAAATAAAAAAATATATATTAGCCCTAATTATTTTGGCTCAGTGGATAGAGCATCAGCCTGTGGACTCAAAAGTCCCACATTTGATCCCAGTCAAGAGCATGTACCTTGGTTGCGGGTACATCCCCAGTAGGGAGTGTGCAAGAGGCAGCTGAATCGATGTTTCTCTCTCATTGATGTTTCTAACTCTCTATCCCTCTCCCTTCCTCTCTGTAAAAAATCAATAAAATATACTTTAAAAAAAATAAAAAATATATATTAATACATTGATAGACACAGGCACATACAAATCTCAATTTTCTAGAAAAATAAAACCTTAAATGCACAGCGCACAAAATTGATAAATATACAATGCAAACAAACTTTAAAGTAAAAACTTTACTACTGAATATATTATATATAACTAACAATCTTCCAGACATAGGGATTTAAGTTCCCTTACAGGACTGTTAGAACATAAAATTATAATAACATTACTTACTCTTTTTATCTGATGAACTGCTAAAATCTATACCACCAAGGCCTTCATTGCCTGTAGTTGAAGTAACTGCTGTGGTTCCCAAAGCCAAGCTTAAAGCATTCTGTCCAAGACCTACAAATAAACTAAATGTCATTTATAAAATTCACTGAAAAAGTCTTCATAATGATTACTCTTCTGACTAAAGCACTCCAAAGCTTTTAAGTTGGATTCCAGATTTTCTTTATACTTGATTTAGGAAAATAACCAGAAACAAGTCTAGAGCAAGCTCTAAACAAAGACCAACAGTCTTGCTTGGATCCAACAGTATATGTAGTTTGAATATGACTTTTTTTTTTTATTAAAAAGGTCAGAATACATGTTAATTCAATACATGTGGACACTCAATTTTATGTTTGTAAGCCTTCTCTACAAAAGCAGTTTTGGTATGTTTTCAGGTGAATACATCTTGTCTTACAATAATGATTTAGAATTATATACTTTTAAAATACTCCAGTGTTGAATGTATCAATTAACTTGATAGGTGGAGTTAATTAAGGAATAATTTTACAACAAAGTACATCTATCAAATCATGTACATTTTAAAAAAATCTTACTATTTTGTCAATTATACCTCAATAAACCTTGGGGTAAATAAGTAAGTATCTAGTATGAATGTATAAGAGTTTAGTATAATATAAAACAAACCATTTTATTATCAATGAAACTTAAAAAACTAATACTTGGTTCTTTATATTCCCAGGTTCTTTGCATAATTTTTTTTTTTTAAAGTAGACTTCATTTATTTAAATCCTACCTTACTGGCAAAAGAAATTCGAAGAGTTAGACTATAGTTAATTTTAAATCAATATATACTTGTTAATACATACATTCCCAGGCTGTCACAATTGTGGGTTTTGTTTTTTTTTGTTTTTTTGTTTGTTTTTAAGACAAGATGCTATTTACTTTAAAAACAGAGAAAACAGTGGAATGTACTGTTAAGAGCATGGGGTAACTGAAAATTGGATTTAAATCCTGACAATGTATGGAAAAAAACATAGCTAAATAAATAACTTCTTCAGTTTAAAAAAAACACACCAATGGCACTTTTAGGTTAATATAACCATAAATTAAACATTTAATACTGTGTCAAGAGCCTAAAAAAAAAAAATCAGGAAATACCTAAAAACTCAACAAGACACAAAAACAACCCCCTACCTCCCCTTTCTATTATTTTTGTGTCTTTGATAGAAATCTTTGGGAGAGGTATTTAAATATTTATCATGCAAAGAAATGTATGTTATAGTCATCTAGTGATTTTATTATTAGAAAATATTTTTAATACCTACAAAGTTAGACAATGACAAAATATTTGAAAGATCAATGAAATTTGACTACTACAAATTCTTACAGGTTATCTTGCCCAATTCCCTTTTCTCCCTTCCACTGACTTGGAATTACTCCATTAAATTTAGTATTTGAATAGAAGACACAAAAGAATTATAGCTTTAACCGAAATCAAGTCACATCCCTTTATCTCTCCCACATAATCAGGTACTTAGTGAAACTACTGAACTAGCCATTATAAATAAATCTAAGTATTTTCAGGAATTCTGTGATTTCAACATGTATCAACTATTCCTAATATGTAAATTGTTAAACAGAAATTCTTGATGTCACATTATTAAGTAATTATACAACTTCTACAAATAAAAGGGAAGTGTTTCTCATTCCCACAAAACCCCACTGGCTTTCCTATATTGGCATTAGCTATAGCCAAAATTCAAAACATCTGTAGAATCCTTGACATAAGGTTAATTTCAAAATAAGCATGAAATGAGAAATCAACCCGAAATATAAATATTCATTCAGTAGTCTTTGGCAGGTGAACTGATACTTAAGTATTACCTGACTAATAAAAATACTCAATATTGTATTTTACACTCTTGCCTTCAAAGCCTCTAATACCCTTCCTGACATCTGTAATAGAAAGCTACTCCTAGAATTAGAGCTTAAAAAGTTAAGATGTCTTACAATGACTGTAGATACTAAATGATGCTAGCCTATTCAACTGCTATTTATTAAAAAGGTAAGTTTCTTTAGAAACTTTATTGACTCCTCAAACAGGTGCCTCTTCATTTCTTTATCTAGCCGGTCAATATTGAGAAACGAAAAAATGTATTTCTAAAATACTGCTAAGAGGTCCAGTTAGCATGAAAAGCATTACAATTGTTTTCATATGAAAAGAAAAACATAAATTTAATAAGACAAAGCAATCTGCTCAAAATGCCAAAATAAATTTTAAAACAAATATTATTTCTAGAGAATAAGTACCATCAATTACCTGATGTTGCTGTGTTTGTACTCTGGAAAAGTGAACCTCCCAAACCAGCTAAGGCTCCCCCTAAAGAAAGGCCTGTTGATGCAGTCGTAGTTGTGGCTGTCGTTCCACCCAAATTATTAAGAGTAAATCCTGTGGATGCTATAAAAAGTGAGACTGTAAATCTTCAAGAGGAAACACTGTTTCTAGAACATCATAACAAATACAAAACACTTTCTTTAAAAAACTGATGTCCACGATAAAATTGACTCTTGCAAAAAACTACTCAATAAAGATAAAATTATATATACTTATGAATAAAGGAAAAATGAGTGACAGAAAAAAACTTTGGGTAATAAAAAAAATGGTATCAGGTAACTGATTTCACACAGTAATAGAGTTTTCAGCCAGGCCATCAACTCTACCTTCAATTCTGAATGAATTTAAGCCAGGCAAGGTTTATGCAAACCTTTTATTCTTCCCTGTCACCAAAATACTCTTCGAAAACAAAGTATATTTTAGTGATTTTACATTTTATTTCTCTTATCCTCTTCCCTGTTCTGTTCTCTGTAAATAGAGACCAACTTTCAAGTTGGTCTCTGCTGCTTTAATGCCCAATGTTGTTCTTTTACACAAATAAGTAATTTAATAGGTCAAAGTTGCTGAACGACTTAAGTAAAAAATTCCCCAATCTGAAGTTATATTTAATAAAGGTGGCTACCTATGTACACTCACCAAATAAAGTTAAAATTTAACCATAAAATGTGACCTTTTTTCCATTCTGCCTCACCTGCTGGAGTTGATGTCAGAGCAGATGAAAGGGTAAGACCACTAGCTGAGGTAGAAGTAATAGGCAAAGCAAATGGTGTGGCAGATGCTGCAGGTTTATTGAATCCTAAACTGAAACCTGTTGTAGATGCAGATGTAGTGGCTGGAGTTCCTGTTTAAAAAAAAAAAAAAAAAAAAAAATCCTTATTTTACTATAATTTTATGTATTATATACCATACACCAATCAGGATCCTTACAAGTTAGTGATCCTACTTTTTATAGATAGAACAAGGATGTACTTCTGTATGTATAAGAGAAAAATATAAAATTTGACACCAAATAATAGTGAATGGTCCTATTGAGTTAAGAAAAGCAAAAGAAAATTGAATCAATGAGATAATACTGAAATTCAATTTCAGTTGTACCCCTAGACCAGTGTTTCCCAAAGTGTGGCACACATACCCCCAGGGGTACGGGAAGGGTTTGGTGGGGGTATGTGTTGCACCGCAGTTTGGGGATATGCACTGCACCGTGCTTAGCTGCGCCTAATTCTACGTACTCATGAGTACAAGGGGTACTCAGTGTTATGAAAATTATAGAAGGGGTACACATATGTCAAAAGTTTGGGAAACACTGCACAAAATTTAACCTTTTCTTAATACCCTAGCAGAAAAATGACCCATCTTCTCAAAACTATATACATAACAATTCTCTACTGCTTACGATCCTCTTTCTTCTGATTCCTGTGTTTGCTAGCACCCAGAATTCTTCCTACCCCACTTTTGTCCATCTCCATTTCATCTGTTCATTTAACTGATACTCCTTATGGTTTACTTCCTGCTCCCCCCTTACTTCCTAAAAGATCTCACCCACTTTCAGAATTTCAACTACAGGTACATGGTTTAAATCTACACTTACCTGAGTCTGCATTGGCTAGCCCTACCCTTATGTCCCTTTGGACCCCTATATTTCTCCCTATTAAAAAAAACTTTCCGCCAGGACCAGTTTGGCTCAATGGATAGTGTCGGCTTGGGGACTGAAGGGTCCCGGGTTTGATTCCGGTCAAGGGCATGTACCTTGGTTGCGGGCATATCCCCAGTAGGGGGTGTGCAAGAGGCAGCTGATTGATGACTCTCTGTCATCGATGTTTCTAACTCTCTATCTCTCTCCCTTCCTCTCTGTACAAAATCAATAAAATATATATTAAAAAAAAAAAAAAAAAACTTTCCTAAACCCCCATGGTTAATTCAGTTACTCACGGCAGAAATCACAATCCCTTTTGACATCCCTTCTCTCCCTTCATTCTATTAGCCACAAATCCTGTCAAGTCTACTTCAGAGATATCCCAGCAATACAAGCATACTCTAAAATTTTAAATCATTTTTTTTAGGCCACCTTTCTCTCAGTAACTACCGCGTTTCCCCGAAAATAAGACCCAGCGCATGGAAAGATAAGACATCCCCTGAAAATAAGACCTAGCGCAACTTTGGGAGAAAAAAATTAATTTAAGACACTGTCTTATTTTCGGGGCAACAGGGTAGTACAATAACTTTTTAATTTGTTTATCTGTTATCAATCTCCTCTAGCCTATAATCTTTTCTTGGAATTACCTGTTACTCTTTTATTTATTTATTTTTTTAAAAGAGGGATGGAGTGAGGGGCAAACAACAAAATACCCTTTCATTGCCCCTGACATAAGGTTCCATTCCCATTAGCTTTCCACTGTCTCTAAAATAGTGTCTAAAGTGTTGGCATATAATAAATCACCTTTCTTAACTGATAAATCACATTTCCTAAAACTGGCCCTCTTGCTCCCGAAATCTCTCCCTACCTCTGAAACCTAAACCCTCAAGAACGAAGTATTTTTCCTCCATCTAGAATGTTTCCTGTCCTTAAAATGAACTCCTACTCTCTTTCTCCTCTGCCTCCCTTGATGCCTTCCATACACCTAGTAGAGCATTTGTCAGAATACCTAAGGGCACAGTTTATACTTGCCTATTTCCTTCACTTCACAACAGGCTGAGTGTCTTGCTAACACACTCAGCAGTTCTTGACATCAATAGCTAGTGCTAAATGTTCAAGGCATTACGCACAATGCCACAGAGTTAGGAAGTAGTAGCTGCTCAAAAATTTAAATGAAGAAAAGTATGAATGGCCTACATTTTGGCTTCTCCTAAAAGCACTAAGAAGAAAAAAAGCCAAAAATTATCTTTCTGGCCAGGACCAGTTTGGCTCAATGGATAGAGCGTCGGCTTGGGGACTGAAGGGTCCCGGGTTTGATTCCGGTCAAGGGCATGTACCTTGGTTGCGGGCATATCCCCAGTAGGGGGTGTGCAAGAGGCAGCTGATTGATGACTCTCTGTCATCGATGTTTCTAACTCTCTATCTCTCTCCCTTCCTCTCTGTACAAAATCAATAAAATATATATTAAAAAAAAAAAAAAAAAACTTTCCTAAACCCCCATGGTTAATTCAGTTACTCACGGCAGAAATCACAATCCCTTTTGACATCCCTTCTCTCCCTTCATTCTATTAGCCACAAATCCTGTCAAGTCTACTTCAGAGATATCCCAGCAATACAAGCATACTCTAAAATTTTAAATCATTTTTTTTAGGCCACCTTTCTCTCAGTAACTACCGCGTTTCCCCGAAAATAAGACCCAGCGCATGGAAAGATAAGACATCCCCTGAAAATAAGACCTAGCGCAACTTTGGGAGAAAAAAATTAATTTAAGACACTGTCTTATTTTCGGGGCAACAGGGTAGTACAATAACTTTTTAATTTGTTTATCTGTTATCAATCTCCTCTAGCCTATAATCTTTTCTTGGAATTACCTGTTACTCTTTTATTTATTTATTTTTTTAAAAGAGGGATGGAGTGAGGGGCAAACAACAAAATACCCTTTCATTGCCCCTGACATAAGGTTCCATTCCCATTAGCTTTCCACTGTCTCTAAAATAGTGTCTAAAGTGTTGGCATATAATAAATCACCTTTCTTAACTGATAAATCACATTTCCTAAAACTGGCCCTCTTGCTCCCGAAATCTCTCCCTACCTCTGAAACCTAAACCCTCAAGAACGAAGTATTTTTCCTCCATCTAGAATGTTTCCTGTCCTTAAAATGAACTCCTACTCTCTTTCTCCTCTGCCTCCCTTGATGCCTTCCATACACCTAGTAGAGCATTTGTCAGAATACCTAAGGGCACAGTTTATACTTGCCTATTTCCTTCACTTCACAACAGGCTGAGTGTCTTGCTAACACACTCAGCAGTTCTTGACATCAATAGCTAGTGCTAAATGTTCAAGGCATTACGCACAATGCCACAGAGTTAGGAAGTAGTAGCTGCTCAAAAATTTAAATGAAGAAAAGTATGAATGGCCTACATTTTGGCTTCTCCTAAAAGCACTAAGAAGAAAAAAAGCCAAAAATTATCTTTCTGGCCAGGACCAGTTTGGCTCAATGGATAGAGCGTCGGCTTGGGGACTGAAGGGTCCCGGGTTTGATTCCGGTCAAGGGCATGTACCTTGGTTGCGGGCATATCCCCATTAGGGGGTGTGCAAGAGGCAGCTGATTGATGACTCTCTCTCATCGATGTTTCTAACTCTCTATCTCTCTCCCTTCCTCTCTGTATAAAATCAATAAAATATATATTTTTTTAAAAATTATCTTTCTGGATTGACCTTACCACAACTGGAAGTTCCTGCCAGAATAAGTGCTTTGAAATAGTGTGAGTTCTATAATCTCAGAAAATATGAGGACCCAACTGCTTGCCCTTGTAGCCCCAATTGTCCAAAATTTGATGGTAAACATATATTTCTGTTGACAAAAGGTTAAGTAGTAGCCAAGGGAAGGAAGTCCACTAATCTTTCATTCATTTCAATTTTTAATTGAGGTTCCTCTATATTCTTTCATTCTTCCATTGCCTTTCCATTATTTATTGCCATACAGATTCAAGGCAGGCGATAATCCTAGTTATTCACATTCCCTTCAGCAGATAACTATAGAAAACTAAGAGTTTTTTTGTTGTTTTTTTTTTAGCCGAAACTGGTTTGGCTCAGTGGTAGAGCGTCGGCCTGCGGACTGAAAGGTCCCAGGTTCGATTCCGGTCAAGGGCATGTACATTGGTTGCGGGCACATCCCCGGTAGGGAGTGTGCAGGAGGCAGCTGGTCGATGTTTCTCTCTCATCGACGTTTCTAGCTCTCTATCCCTCGCTCCTCCTCTCTGTAAAAAATCAATAAAATATATATTTTTTTTTAAAAAAAGTTTTTTTATAGCTGGAAGGGAATCCAAAAACTTGTTATAGTCCAGTTACCTAATTTTATAAATAACTAAAAGCTGCCAGATATTTCAACGACCAAAAATGGGCTCACAACTAATTAATGGTACAACCAGGGCTTAATCCCAAGACTTCTGGCCTATACTTTGGTGATTTTTCCACTCAAATGACTCAAAAGACTGAAAAATGTATTGTGAAATAAATTTTGAAAGAAAAACTAAATCTGAATTAAAAATATTTTGATAAAAAGATATTTTTAAAATACTCAAATACTGAAAGATTCTTTGATAAGTCAGCATCTGTGATCTGTATTCAGTTCCTTACACGCTTTCCTCTATACCCCAGCTCTGTAGGATATTAGGAAAGAGAAGAGTAAGAAACCACAGATCTAGAATCTTTCCTCAAAAGTTCTTACCCAGAGTTAATCCTGTAGTTATAACTGATGCTATTCCTGGAGACAAAAAGAGAAATAAAACGTAATCATCAGTGGAAGATGGCATTCTTTTGGTTTTTTACAAAGGCAAGACTCAAAATCGCCTTCAGGGAGTAAGAACACTGCTAATGATCAAACATATCACAATTTCTTCTTCCACCATAAGCATCTATATATACTGAGTGGCCAGATTATGATGATCTCTGAACGCATAATAATCTGGCCACTTAGTGTATATAAAAAGCCAAGGAGTGGAACAACTGGTCACTATGACATCCACTGCAGCCAGTGAGCTGGCCCGATAGGGAGTGGGGCTCGCAAGCCAACCTCTCATGGCTCTTCTTCCCACCCACTGATGCTTGATTGCCCCCCGCCCCCCTGACCAGCCAATCACCTGCAGCCCCTACCCCCAGCCGACCTGGCCAGATCAGGCCCCAATAGGGGCAGGTCAAGTGGCCAATCTCCTGCCATCTCCTCCTCCTGACAGGCCCTGCCCCAACCCACCCCGAATGGGGCCAGGCTGGCCGGACCCCAACTGTGCGTGAATTCGTGCACTGGACTCTAGTTAACTAATATAAACGCACTTCCTATAGCACTGATTTTCATATTACAAACTGTAAATAATTTGATTAATTAGCAAATAAGATTTATAAAATGAAAAAAAAGTTATTGCTTATAACAAAATTAAGCAAGGAATAAAAAAAAGCTCTAAGAAACAAAAACAAAAACACCCTGAGAAACAGAGCTAAAGCTCACTAGCTCATGTCATATTTACTCCTACAGTTCTTTCATTTTTTATGTGTGGCTGTGAAAGTGTTGTAATTAATGCTGGAAGGCCTATGCAAAAGGTGGTAACAGACCAAGAGGCTCTGAGGATAGAGAATAAAGGATAAATAAGGAAACAACTTCAGTGAAACGTATTTTTAGCTTAAATAACTGTAGTATTAAACACACTTTTTATTATTGTAATGTTCACCAGAAATCTTAACCTCTTGCCCTTTTACCACTTAAACTATTAAATTATTTAATAAATAATTTAAAATATTTCTTAAAAATGTAAATTATAGCCCTGGCTGGTATCACTCAGTTGAAGGGTCCTCCATATACCTAAAGGTTACAGGTCCAATTCTTGGTCAGGGCATATACCTGGGTTACAGGTTCAATCCCAGTTTGGAGAGGTGTAGAAGGCAGCTAATCTATGCTCTCTCTCACATCAATGGTTCTCTCTCTCTCTCTCCCTCTCTCTCTCTCTAAAAAAGATCAGTAAGTATAACCTCATGTGAGGATTTTAAAAAAAATTTTATTTAAAAGAATGTAAACTATGCCGAAACTGGTTTGGCCCAGTGGATAGAACGTCAGCCCGTGGACTGAAGGGTTCTGGGTTAGATTCTGGTCAAGGGCATGTACTGTGGTTGTGGGCACATCCCCAGTAGGGGGTGTGCAAGAGGCAGCTGGTCGATGATTCTCTCTCATCGATGTTTCTAACTCTATCCCTCTCTCTTCCTTTCTGTAAAAAAAACAATAAAATATATTTTAAAAAAAGAATGTGAACTATAATGTTATAGCAAAATAGGATGCTGACTGCCCCATATATGGTAATTAATGGCCAAATTGGTAAACTTGTCTTAATCTTCATTAAGGTAAAACAATGCATTCTATAATAATCTAATATAAAAATTTTAATTACTTTTATTTGCTATATTTAAAGAGATATAACTTCTTTAATCCTTCCTTATGGAAAAGTAGATCATAGCTAATGACTGGGCCTGTCATTGGCCCTTAATTCCACATCCCTATATTTCCTTTCATCTTAGTATTTACCATTTTTTAAGTCTACCATCAATGACAATACTTATAAATGGAGATTCAGTACAGACTTGAAAAAGGATAAAATCCCAAACCTACTCTCTGAAAAATGTGACAATCTTCCTTACCTGTATTTGTTCCTCCTAGAGTGAATCCAGTGGCAGGCTTCGATCCAAAGAGCCCAGTTCCAAAACCACCTGAAGGAGCAGATGTAGTTGCTGGAGTCGAGGTACTTCCAAGAGTTCCAAAATTGAGGCCCACAGAAGGGTTGCTTATTAAAAAACAAACACACACAAAATAAGGTCCACTAGAGCCAATACTGACTTAAGAGAAATGAAAATTAACTCTTCAAGGTTAATTTCTTTTATTTAACACTAGTGTCCTGGTATACAAATTCATGTACCAGTGGGGTCCCTCGGCCTGGCCTGCGGGATCAGGCCAAAACCAGCTCTCCGACATCCCTTGGTGGGGAGGGGTCCCGGATTGTGAGAGAACTCAGGCCAGGCTGAGGAACCCCTGGCACGATTGGAGCCAGGGAGGGACATGGGAGATTGGCCAGCCAGGGAAGGATCGAGGGAGGGCTCCAGTGCGTGTCTGGCCCCTCTGGCTCAGTCCCGATCAGCCAAACCCCAGGAGCAAGCTAACCTACCAGTCGGAACATCTGTCCCCTGGTGGTTAGCGCACATGATAGCGAGCAGTTGAGCCGCCTTAGCATATCATTAGCACATTATGGTTTGATTGGTTGAACACATGACATATTAGGCCTCCCATATAATAAAAGGCTAATATGCAAATCGACCAATGGCGGAACGACCAGTCTCCATGACATGTACTGATTACCAGGAGACAGACATTCAATTCAGAAGCAGCCCCTTGGTGGTCAGTGTGCTCCCACAGGGGGAGCGCCATTCAGCCAGAAGCTGGGCTCACGATTGGTGGGCCCAGCAGCAGCAGCCTTTCCTGCCTCCACGGCAGCGCTAAGGATGTCTGACTGCTGGCTTAGGCCCGCTCCCTATGGGCATCCCCTAAGGGCTCCGGACTTTGAAAGGGCACAGGCCAGGCTGAGAGGACTTCCCCTCCCTCCCCCCCGCCCCAGTGCACAAATTTCAGGCACCGGGCATCTAGTTTATTATATAGGACTAGAGGTCCGGTGCACAAAATCCGTGCACAAGGTAGGGGAGAGGTGTGTCCCTCAGCCCAGCCAGTGCTCTCTTGCAATCTGGGACCCCATAAGTAGCGTCCCTGAGCCTGGCCAGCAATCAGGGCCTATCAGGGCTTTCCTCCCCCCGGCTGCCAGCAGCTGGCCCAGCCTCCGCCACTGCTGGTGTAGGCCTTCCCCTGCAGGACGATGGCGTGGCCCCACCGACCAATCACATCGCATCCAAATTGGCTGGCCGGGCGCCAGTGCATGTCATAGTGTGGTCATCCAGAAGGTGGTCCAGACAGTTGTTCTGCTGTTCGGTCGATTTGCATATTAGGTTTTTATTATTATAAATATCTAATGCATCTCCATACAAAAGGAAGTAATAAGTTTAACCAAATTTATTTTTCAGTTATCTTTAAAAATAAACCCACATATAAAATTAATCTTTAAAAAGTATAGTACCAATTATAAAGATAAGCATAATCTAGAGCAATTAAGACTTCAGATCCCAAGTAATCGTAAAAAGAACCCCACATTCTTATTCTACTTTCACTAGTTTTTGTTTGAAAGTGAGCTATTTAAAAATGGCATAATTCCCTAGCTGGTTTGGTTCAGTGGCTAGAGCATCAGCCTGCAAACTGAAGAGTTGTTCAAGGGCACATGCCTGGGTTGTGGGCTTGATCCCCAGTGTGGGGCATGCAGGAGGCAGCCGATCAATGATTCTCTCCCATCATTGATGTTTCTATCTCTCTCCATCTCCCTTCCCCTCTTAAATCAATAAAAATATTTTTAAAAAATAAATAAAAATGACCACAAGGAAATTCCTTAAATGTTGATCATTTTCCTCTTGAACTACTCCTTTACAATTCACATTACTAAACTCATTTGTCCTTTCCCAACATACCCAGAAATGGAAAAGATTATCTAAGTTGTCTTTACCATCTTTCTATAGTTACATTACCATATTTATGAGGTGGGAGTGTAGGTATCTTGCCACATAAAAAAAAAGAAAGTAACAATTGGGGGTAGGAGAAGTACGGTGACAGATAAGAATGAACCTATCCTGGCAAGAGTAAAATGCAACTCTGGCTGGTTTGGCTCAGTGGATAGAGTGTCAGCCGGTGGACTAAAGGGTCCTGGGTTTGATTCTGGTCAAGGGCACATCAGGATTGCAGGCCACATCGCCAGTAGAGGGCATTCAGGAGGCAGCCAATCAATGATTCTCTCTCATCATTGATGTTTCCATCTCTCTCTCTCCCTCTCCCTTCCTCTCTGGCACGTGGGGTATGAGGTAGTAAAGGAATTAAAAACAGAGGGAATTGCCCTAAAACGGGTAAGGTTTGGCCAAGAAACTGAGAAAGGACCCAGGTTGCTAGAGCAATGTTTTTGGAACTAATTTCGGGACCCATTAGAGGGTATGAAATCAATTTAGTAGATAATATGCATTTTTTAAAAATGAAATGCACCAGAATAAGATACCCTTACTTCATATCAGTGTATCATATGAAGTAAAGGTATCTTTCTTGAAACTTTCAGTTACTTGTGTTCCTAAACTGGGTGATACTATAAATGCAATTTAATGGGTCTGGACCACTGAATTGGAGCAAACTAAAATAAGGAAAATATATTTTTAAAAAAGAGTAAAATGCAAAGCAAAATTACCCCTATCAAGATTGTGGCCCTAGCTGGTTTGGTTCAGTGGATAGTGTCAGCCTGCAGACTGAAGGGTCCCAGTTTCAACTGCAGTCAAGGGTACATGCCCAGGTTGCTAGATCCTCAGCACCAGGCATTAAGGAGGCAGCCTATCAATGATTCTCTCTCATCTTTGATGTTTCTCCCTCTCCCCCTCTGAAATCAATGGGAAAAAAAAAAAAAAAAAAAAAAAAATATATATATATATATATATATATATTTAAATTGTGTTCATCAGCAGAAATTCTCTTCAGAATTTTTGAAAGAGCAGCCAATAACAAGTGATGTGAACGAAGTTCACAGCTTTTCAACTGTTCTCATCAAGCCTCAGATGAGGCTCTTTATAGGTAGGAGAACAAATTATGAAAGTAAGCAAAAAAAAAAAAAAAAAAAAAAAGGAAAAGAAAACCCCAAAACTTGACCACTTGATATTTCAAAAAAATATGTAGGAGAGTTAACAGAGATTATAACAATTATGAAATCCCACTCATCCTACATATGTAATCCAGGCCTTTCCAAACAGACATTAATTACCATGAGGACTGAATGTCAGTTTTAAAAAGCTTACAAGCCTGGGAAATTTCAATTTAAGGGGAAGGCAGTAGTGTTATGGCTGGGATCCAGTACCAGTTCCCCATTGTGCTGACATGTAGGTGATACTACTTAATTTGAGCATCTATTTCATCTGCAAAGTGGGAGTAATAGTACCCTTAGGATTTTTTGTATAATTAAGAGATCAAGCAGGACAAATTAACTTCACTCGATACACGTTGTTATTATAGCTATCATTAGGAAAAAGTATAAATTCTACTAAACACATATAATGGCCAGCAAATCACTGGAGGGCTATAAAGAGGGAGGAGCTTAACTAAAGAGTAGAAATAAGTCTTCAACTCTGAATAGGAAAAGAAGAGGACATACACTAATTGTGTCTTAGTTTACCACTGATCTTAAAAATGATAGCAGGCTGGGGTGGGGTGGGGTGGGGTGAGGGATGGGTTGTCAGGGAAGGGCTGCAGGGCCTCACTGACAAAGCACAGTTCAGTAAACACTTAAACTGAGCTTAAGAGAAACATTATTGGCATATTTTAATTTAAAAAATTTTTATGCTCCCCTTCCTCACAAGTCAGTAATATTTTTCAAAATATATTTTTATTGATTTCAGACTGAAGGGGAGAGGGAGAGATGGAAATATCAATGATGACAGAGAACCACAGACCGGCTGCCTCCTGCATGCCCCCTACTGGGGCTTGAGCCCACTGCCTGAGCAGGTACTCTTGACTGGAATTGAATCCGGGACTCTTCAGTCCCCAGGCCAACACTCTCTCCACTGAGTCAAAACAGCAAGGGCCAATGATCCTTTCTTTACTATCTCATAAATATGCAAAAGATGTACAATGAAAATATGCATTTTAGACAATTAAAATTTTAAAATTTCTTGAAGACACAATGAAGTGCTTCATAATTAAAGTTGAAAACATTACCAAAGAAATACATCAAAGTGAAGTGGTATTACTTTATCAGTGAAGCAAAACAGAAATGTCTCTGTGGCAGAGAAATGTACTTACTTGAAGAAAAACAAAAAGCTACCCCAGACCTGACCTCAACCCGTTATCTGCCACTGACTCAACAGGATGTGAGCCAAGTTGACTCCAGCAGATCAGTAATGTGATTTTAACTTCCCCAGCTTGCCTCAATGTGGACTTAATAACATGATAGTTAACATTTACTGAGCACTTAGCAAATGCCAAATATGCTACATTTTCTACATGCTTTATCTCATTCAACAACTCTGAGGTAATTATATTCCTTTTCCAAAGGTGGGAACTGAGGCTGGGAGAGGAACTTTCCCAGAGTGATACCAAATCACCAAACGGCAGCAGGAGCAGTCAGGCCTCCAATTTAGTATTCCAACGGAGAGATGTTAGTCAGTCTTTCCATTTGTTAATTTATCCAAGCCTTTTTAAAACCAGTGCAAATCTTCCTAATTTATTACCAATAATAATTCTTGATCATTCAACAGTATTTATTAAAGTCCTTATTATATCCCAGGCACTGTTATAGGGACTGAGGACTAAGGAGAAATGGTAAATAAGACCCTATGCTTCAAAAATTTTCAAAGAGAAAGAGATTAATCAATCAATCATTCCTTCAACAAATATATATTGAGCTTCACTGTGTCTACTGGAAAAAAAAAACAGTATGAAAAGGTCTCCACCCTCATGGAGCATCCATTCTATTGCTCGGATCAGACAATAAATAAGTCAACAAAAATACATAACGAACTGTTACAACTGTGATAAGTGCTTTGGTACCGGGTACTGAGGATATACACTTCCTACAGACTGATGGGTCAGAAAAAACCTCTCTGGGAAACTAACCTTTTTAATCCCAAAAGTAGGCATTAGCTTGGCACGTGGGGTATGAGGTAGTAAAGGAATTAAAAACAGAGGGAATTGCCCTAAAACGGGTAAGGTTTGGCCAAGAAACTGAGAAAGGACCCAGGTTGCTAGAGCAGTGTTTTTGGAAATAATTTCGGGACCCATTAGAGGGTATGAAATCAATTTAGTAGATAATATGCATTTTTTAAAAATGAAATGCACCAGAATAAGATACCCTTACTTCATATCAGTGTATCATATGAAGTAAAGGTATCTTTCTTGAAACTTTCAGTTACTTGTGTTCCTAAACTGGGTGATACTATAAATGCAATTTAATGGGTCTGGACCACTGAATTGGAGCAAACTGAAATAAGGAAAAGATGGTCTCAGGATAAGCCTGTTGAAGAAGTTCCAGATTATTTGAGGACCGCAAGGTTTATTTTTACTTCATTCCAATAATAGTGAAAAACCTTGAAGGGAGGCAATGTGAATTTAAAAAAATATATCAACCTGGATACAATATAGTAAAAAGATGGACATAAAAGTAGATTTTTGAGATTTCATTGAACTAGTAATTAGGGAATGATGGGCACAGTTCTCATTTAACAAGGGAAAGGTGACTGGATGTAAGCTTCAGGAGAGCAGGACTCTTATTTACCTCCTAAAACTTCTATGTTATAGAAGTGTGTCCAATAAATATTTGTTCAAGGAATGACAACAGCTTGCAGCACTGAAAATGAAGCGAATAGAAAATAATTAAAATTACCAAGTGTATAGAGTGAAAGAAAAGGAGGCATTAGCCGAAGCCGGTTTGGCTCAGTGGTAGAGCGTCGGTCTGCGGACTGAAAGGTCCCGGGTTCGATTCCGGTCAAGGGCATGTACCTTGGTTGCGGGCACATCCCCAGTAGGGGGTGTGCAAGAGGCAGCTGGTCGATGTTTCTCTCTCATCGACGTTTCTAGCTCTCTATCCCTCTTCCTTCCTCTCTGTGAAAAATCAATAAAATATATTAAAAAAAAAAAAAAAAGAAAAAGAAAAAAGAAAAGGAAGCATTAAGGAAAACCCCCAGATTTCTGACTTGATGTGTAGCCTGTGATCCTCCCCCCTTTTTGACTACAATGCTGACGGTATTTTTGCCTCTTTAATCTACAGCAATATTCTTTAAGCTTCCGTGCACACGACTGGATTTAATAAACTCCACCTTTATCTTCAAAAGATTGAGTTCTAAAGATTAAGTCTGTCACCAATAAAATGATTTTTAAAGATTTTAATTGCCTCTTTCGGGACTTCTGCTGGTAAAATTTTTGTCACCGGTGTAGCAGGTTGTACAGAAATGGATGAATATATTACCTACATTTTACAATTTAATTAAGACAATGCGAGTCATTAAAACACAACATCCTCACTGATGCTCATTTGCGTACTGCTCAAAGTTATGCTGTAAGGAGTAAAACAAAAACAACAGGAAAGCTAGAGTCCCATGAGGCACCAAGACTTGAAAACTCGTTAACCACGAACTCATTAAAGCTCTACGATGTCTAAAACCGCATATCCCGAAACAAATTCATTACCAGGGAGCAACTTTTGTCCTTAGATTTGTCTAAAACTCCACAATAAGCTATATTTCATTCATTCGTACAACATTCACTCTGTGCCTACGACTGACAAACTGCTAGGGCCTTGCACCCAGCCAGACCTCACTAGTAGGAACCATCGTGGATGCTGGGCCCCCACGACCCAGAAGCCGTCCACCCTCCCCGCGCGGAGTGCTCGGCCGGGGCGGCGAGCGGGGAGCCCACGAAGCCGGCGCGGGGCAGTTGTTTCTCTCCAGGCCGACGACCGAGAAAGCCAGCGGGAGTAAAGACGGGCGGGATAACCCCACGGGAACGTCCTGGGAAAACCTGGCCAGGACGGTGAGGAAGCGCGGTTACCTGGACGCCCCGGTTCCGAAGGAGAAACCGCCGCCGGTGCCAGTCCCGCCGGCGGCTACGGTGGTGGAACCCAGCGTGCCGGTCCCGAAGGAGAACCCCGTAGACATGGCTGCCCCGGCTCAGCGCTTTCAGGACGCGGAAAGGGGTCTCGGGTGCTCCTCTCGCATCAAAGCCGAAGCGGGCCGGGGAGCATAGCTTCCCGCCTCGGCCGGGACCTGGCGGGAACCTCACACTCCAGCGGCGGGGAAGCGAGGCCGAGGCGGGCGGAACCAGCACACAAGAGCCGTCCCAGCCCGCGGCGCGCACACAGCACGCCGGAAGCCAGCGCGGCGCGCAGGGAACTCTGGGAGGGGCGGGGGCGGTGTGCCGCGCAAAGCACCCTGGGCCTGGGGTTGGGTCCCCGCCTACTCCCGGAGTCCAAACAAATCCACGCGATTTCTTTTCTGGTTTTATTTCGGCCGCCACGCAGACCTTATCTGTATCCCAGCGCAGTGGTATCTCCGTTAATGCCATGTCCTTGGTTACATCCTAAAAGGAAGCGCAGAATCCCAGAGTTGGGAGGGCCCTATTGATCATGTCTATCCTCCCCCTTACAGGAAAGAGGGTGATTTTAGTCTTTTGCTGCCTTGCCACCCTTTGAAAAACGAGGAGGTATGTGCTTCCTAACAGTTTGGCAATCAATCAATAATAATTCACTCATCGGTTCAACAACGTGAGCACCACCTTTGTGCTCCAGGGCGCAGCGGGGCCCGATGCTGCGGCCCCGGAGAAAATCCGGAGAGCGTCCTTTGTAGGCGGGGTGGCTGGCCCTGTGCGTGATGCTGAGCAAACAGAACTGGACGGGCCTTGCGAATGGCAGCGGGTGTGAAGTCTGTAAACAGTCTCCGCATTTCCTGCTCAGAGTGCGGGACCTGGGGCAGAGCGCGGGTTCCGTCCCTCCCGGACCGCGACCTCCCGGCTTTGCGGCTCTCCGGTGCCACTGCTATCACTAGAGGAACTGCAAAAGAAAGGCATTTTAAAAAATTACAGAAAAACAGTATATAATATGAGATTTAGGTGTTCGGTGAGCAGCCCTGAAACATAAGATAAAAATGGGATGTAAGGAAGAGATCCCCTCTAGAGAAAGGATCATGAAAGGGTTCCTGGCGGCAGGGCCTTTTAGGTGCTGCCATCATAACACGGGTCTTTATTTTTCTGTTGGGAATTGTTGCAGTACTCCTCCCATAAATGCGATTTTTTTTTTTCTTGCAATAAAATTTATCCATAAGCAACCACCAGGTTTGCTCTCCTAAAACAGAATTCTCACCATGACATTGCCTTAATAAAAAAAACTCAGTGATTCTATTCTGGCTCTTGCTAACCTTATATCTCATAACTCCCCTTAATGCAGTACTTTCTCCTGCACTGAGCTTGGACATTGCCACCTGCTATGGACTGAATTGTGTCCCTCCAAAATTCATTCATTTCAGAGTACTTTAAATTATGCTGCAGTAACCCCAAAAATTCCACAGAGTGGAGCACTGCAGAGATGGCAACTGGAATGTTTGGTGAACAGTATTACAATCTGCCACATACCTCTAAATGCACCAAGTGTAAAACTGGACCTCAGAGAACCGTTCCCAGATAGCTTCTATTTGTCTTATTAACAAAAAGAAAACACTTTACATCTTATGTTTTACAGAAAGAAAACTCCAATGAAAGCAGTTTCTATGAAAGCCCAGTTTTTTGGTTATTAAATTTTAAAACTTGCCGAAACCGGTTTGGCTCAATGGATAGAGCGTCGGCTTGGGGACTGAAGGGTCCTGGGTTCGATTCCGTTCAAGGGCATGTACCTTGGTTGCGGGCATATCCCCAGTAGGGGGTGTGCAAGAGGCAGCTGATCGATGACTCTCTCTCTCATCGATATTTCTCTCAATCTCTCTCTCCCTCCCTCTCTGTACAAAAATCAATAAAATATATTTTTTTAAAAACTTGACAGTAAAATAATCATACAATCTTTATGCCTAAAACCTATCCAACCAGGCAAAACCATGAAGCACATAATATAATCACTTTAGTACATTATACAGTACATTCAGTTAAGAACAAATATTTTGTCCTTCACTCAGCCTCCCCAAATGAACACAGCCTGATTCAGATAAATTTACTGGCATGATCAGTCCTGCAGAATTAGAATGAGCCGAAACTGGTTTGGCTCAGTGGTGGAACGTCGGTCTGCGGACTGAAGGGTCCCGGGTTCGATTCCGGTCAGGGGCATGTACCTTGGTTGCAGGCACATCCCCGGTGGGGTGTGTGCAGGAGGCAGCTGGTCAATGTTTCTCTCTCATCGACATTTCTAGCTCTCTATCTCTCTCCCTTCTTCTCTGTAAAAAATCAATAAAATATATTAAAAAAAAAAAAGAATTAGAATGAGTATCAGCAGGTATCCAGACATCTCTGGAGATACTAGAATGCATTCTGCTTAACACACACATATACACAATCATTATTTATTGAGAATTTATTGAGGCCAGCCACTATGCCTAAGTATTTCTGTTCCGTTATTTCATTTAACCAAGACAAATAACTTAATGGAGGAGATAAGAAGTACTACTACTGGTATTTACAGATAAGAAAACCAACAGTTAGGAGTGGCCGATTACCCAGTGCCCAGCAAAATGTGAAACGACAAAGTGCCACCGTAGTTTCAGATGCAATTGCTGTCACATCCTTGGTGAAGGATTGCCACATTCCCCAGGCTGAGACAGGCGGTAAGCAGTCACAGCAGCATGAGGCTCCTTGACAGCCCCACCCGGCCCCCAGGTTGAAGTCGTTGGATTCTTTCCCATCTCTGATCTCCTGTGTGCCCCTAGGAGCGGAGGCCATGAGCAGGTACACCAGCCCCGTGAACCCAGCATCTTCCTCTACCTGACCGTGGTGCTGTTGGCCATTGGCATGTTCTTCACCGCCTGGTTCTTCATGTATGAGGTCATGTCCACCAAGTACACTCGGGATATCTACAAGGAGCTCCTCATCTCCTTGGTGGCCTCACTCTCCATGGGCTTTGGGGTCTTCTTTCTGCTGCTCAGGGTTGGCACCTACGTATGAGCTTCCACAGGCTCCAACCAGGCAGCTGCACTGAATCCCTGATTTTGTAAATTAATTTTTTTACTGTTGCTGGAGGTGTCTCTCCTGCTGTTCACAATAAAGGATGATGTGTGACCAAAAAAAAGAAGAAAAAAAAAAAAGAAAGAAAACCAACAGTTAGAAAAATTAAGTAACTGTACTAAATTCATACAGCTAGTAAGTGACAGAAATGAAATTTGACTTCAGATAGTTTTGATTCCAAAAATAATTCTGATTATAGTCTTTATCTTCTGCAATAATATACCTAAAAATAAAAGTTGAGAAATATAATCAAGTGAAATATCCTTGATCTTTTAATGATTTATGTATTTGAGAAGCACCCAGATTAGGAAATGTGATTGCTTTTATAATATTCCATTAGCTGGTAAACAGTAAACATAATTCTAAAAGCATCAACATTTAGAATATAAAATGTTTTCTCACACGACAATCGTGGCATTAAACATCTGGTGAATTTTGTAGGGAAATTAAGTAGATTTAAAAATTTTTTGTATTGATTGAGAAAGAGAAACATCTATTTGTCGTTTCATTTATTTATGTATTCATTGATTTCTTCCTTTATGTGCCTTGACTGGAGATAGAACCCACAACCATGGCATATGGGGACAATGCTCTAACCAACTGAGTTACAGGGACAGGGCCTAAGTGTTGTTGTTTTTTTAAGAGAAACAGTATTTATTTCTCAATACCCCTAATTGCTTTTTTTCTTTATTGATAAAAGTATTTCGTATGTGTCTTTATCCCCTCATTGCCCTCGCCACACTCATGCCCTCACCCCATGGTTTTTTAAACAGTCTAAAAATAAATATTAAATATTAGGAAGAAATGAATGCAAATCTTATGCCTCAAAGCTTTGGAATGTTAAAACAGGACAAACTAACTTTGTGGCTTGGCATAATGCAACATTGCATCTCAAACAAGAAAGCAGATGTTATTTCTACTGACTGATGGCTACCAGACTGAAAATTGAAAACATTGTTTAGAATTAGTCTCACTATATTAGCTTATTGCACTAATAGGTGTGCCTTCCTTCCATTAATATAATTGTTTCCTTTATCTTTCTCATAAATATCCCTTGCCTTTGTCTCCTAATTATTACACTAATTCAGGTTTCTCCCTGAATCAGTGCTTCCTGGATAGCTATTCCTTTTCAGACCTCAAGTAAATATTTGTTGCCTCTCACTTTGGCTTTTTATATTTATGTTATTTCAGAGTATGGGGGGGGGGCGGGGATTTATGTTTCAAATAAGGCTAAACTAAATATATCTGATTATTTCCTTAGACTAGATTCTTATGAGTAGAATTGCAGCTCCAAGTGAAGAGAGGCATTGACATTTGGTGCTGTCCGCTGGTAGGGTGATGGACTTCAGGGACAGCTGCCCTACAAGCCCACCGAATTCTCTTTTCACAGCATGTCCTCAGGATTCCTTCTTATTTTTTATTTTTTTATTTCTTTTATTTAAAAAAAAAAAATAAAGGATTCCTTCTTAAGAGGAGAGTCCTCTGGGGAACCCCTCCACAGCCAGCTCTGCGGGTCCTCTGCCAGCTTCCCAGCAGAGGGCCGCCTTCCATCACGCGGCTGAGCCCTCCACCGGCAGGGGGCGCTGTGGCCCGTGCGGCGGCCCCAGAGGACGCTCTCCTCCGCAGGCGCTCCGTTACCCCCGCCCACGCCCCCGGCCGCGGTTTGGGGAAGTGTTTCTAGGAGACGGGCTGGCCGGCTGCGCCTGCGCGGCGGGCGGGCTCGGCGGGGGCGGGCTCGGCGGGGGCGGGCTGCGGGCCTCGGCGCTCCCCGGCTGAACTGGTTCCCGCTGGGTCCGGGTCGCCGCCGCCGCCCAGCTTCTCTCGCCTCATGGTGCGCCTGTGAGGCGGCCCCCAGGCCCACGTCTCCCCGGCATGGAGCACATCCGCACGACCAAGGTAGTGGGCGCGGGAGGTCCGTTGGCCACCGGCCGGGTCTGACGGGGGGACGCGGGAGGACGGAGGGGCGTACGGGGGGGAAGAGGCGGAGGAGGTGGGGAGCGCGGTTGGCCTGACGCGGGTTGAGGGCCGGACGGGCGGGGTCGGGTGGGCCTGGCCCCCCGCCCTCGGGTCCCGGCGGCCTGCGGGGCGGGGCCGGGGAAGGCTGGGCCCGGGGGGCTGGGTGGAGGCCTCCTGCACCCGCGGGGCACAGTCTCGCTTGTCAGTCCAGTTGAGGTGCAATGATTTGGGGGTCAGCCCCCTGACATTGGTCGCCGCTCTCTCGGCACTTTCTTGGCAAAATTGGGGCTGTGTTAGCTGCGAGGCTCTCGCCGCCGAGCCCCGGAAGCCGGTGGGTCTAAAAGGAACATTTTGGTGTGTGAGCGCGGGTGAGGGTCTCGTGTCTCCCTGATCCCCGATGCCGGTTTTGGAGAAGCGGCTGAGGTCAGCACTGGGCCCCGCCCCGCCCTCCGCTCTCCGCGTCCAGTCATTTAAACCTGCTGTTTCCGTCTCTGTCCCAACTTCACTGTCTTCGGAGTCAGTAACTCCACGGAGGACTTACGGAGAAGGGGAAAATTTTACTCCGTATTTTAAAGTGTCTGATGGAATTGTTATGCAGCAATAGCTTATTAAGCCCCATGCTTAATTTTCGTGTGCAAATGGCATTTGGGGGGCCTTTCACAAACACGTATTCTTCTGATTCCATTACAAATGTTAAAACCGAAGGAAATGACATAAAAACAATACCAGATTATCTTACTTAGACTTAACTTTGGGAGGGAGAAAATATAGAGATCAGAAGAACTGAACAACTTGATTTTAAGATCTCTGGGAAGAGGACGACTTACTGTGAAACCTAACTGTCCCCATTTTGCTGAAACCAGGTAACTGCTGCTCATCCTTTTGGCAGAAACACATCATTTTCCTTTGTTCACTGGAGAATTTGAGATGTCAATAAAATGTTTGACAAACCTTTTAAAGGTGTACAAGGACTTTTATTAGAACTTGATTTTAACATTGCCTATACCATCCTCCTATACAACAAAACGCTAATCTGCAAATTGTCCCCTCCACTGAGTTTATCGGGGCAGACGGCAGCCCCTCCACCCTAGTAGGGACTGGTGGCCCCACCCTCCCAGCCGCTCCCCCTACTCCGGTGGGGGACAGGGCCAGCCAGCCAACCTCCTGCTAAATCCCCTGGCCTGTTTGGAGCTGCTGGCTGGATCCCATCTGTGCACGAATTCATGCACTGGCCTCTAGTATCTAATAAAATTGAAAATCTAAAAACTAACTCCCTTTAAATATATATTTTTTTAAGAAACCGAAGATAAAGGAACTAAACGAACTAAGCAAACTAGAATTCAAGTGGCTGGCACTTAAAATTTGAAAATAGAAGAGTAAGTAAATATCCAAACTAGGAGATGGTGTAGAGATGGAAAGGACTAGAGTAGGCATCAGATCAGGTTCTTGCCCGGGTTTCAGGGTTCCAGACATTTATTAGATGTATCTGTGTGCACATGATTTCCTTCTGTACCAGGCTGAACCTAATCTTTGCATCTTTCATAAGGCTTGCTATAGCACACAATAACAAAACAATAGGTGCCAAAACCGGTTTGGTTCAATGGATAGAGTGTCATCCTGCAGACTGAAAGGTCCCTGGTTCCATTCCGGTCAAGGGCATGTACCTGGGTTGTGGGCACATCCCCAGTAGGGGGTGTGCAGGAGGCAGATGGTCGATGTTTCTAACTCTCTATCCCTCTTCCTTCCTCTCTGTAAAAAAAAAAAATATATATATATATATATATATATATATATATATATATATATACTTAAAAACAAAACAAAACAATAGGTGATTTGTAAGAGTGAACAGAAAGTTGGAAAATTTAGGACCCCTTTTAAGACCTTTGTTTTAAATTAAATTGCTGATTTTAAGACCTGCTTTAAATTAATGATGAATGTATATTTTAGTTTTTATTTGTATAGTTGTAACTCTTGTTGTTTATTGCTGGTGACTTTCACTTGGTCTAGTGTTCCTCTTTACTAGTTGATGGTCTTCAATTTTCTGATTTAGTCTTACATTTTCACAATGGGTCCATGCTGGTGGTTTAGTTAAGGTCCTTTTATGACTTTTTTAAGGACTAAAGCTTTCTGACTAATTTTCTATTAAAATTACTTCTCAAGTGTGCTCCTTTATTACTTTGGGTTATTTTCCTAGTATTGGACAAGTACTAAGTACCATCTAGTAATCTTAAGTGGCTGTATGTGGGCTGCAATTAAACAGATATTTGCTGGGTACTTGTTTTGTGCCAGGCCCTGTACAGACACTAGGTATACAAGAGTGAGCAGAAAAGACATGGACCTCATCATGCATTCTGATCATTGTTGGATGGAGTATTATAGTTTTTTAAATTATAATTATAAGAATTATAAGAATAACTTTAAAAGTTATAAAAATAGATTTGAACATAGCCAACTTTTTGTTTCTATTATGCATAGCCTTCACATAGTTAATTTGCTGCAGAAATAATTGTATTTCAAGCTAAAAATGAATTGCTTTAAGTTTATTTAGCTGTTTTGAACTCAATGAAGTTTAATCAGTATGAGTATGATCAAGAATTGACTGTGGAATATTACTATATAACTAGTGATTTTTAAATATATATATTTTATTGATTTTTTTATAGAGAGAAAGAGAGAGGGATAGAGAGTTAGAAACATCGATGAGAGAGAATCATCAATCAGCTGCCTCTTGCACACCCCCTCCTGAGGATGCCTGCAACCAAGGTACATGCCCTTGACCAGAATCGAACCTGGGACCTTTCAGTCCGCAGGCCAATGCTCTATCCACTGAGCCAAATCAGTTTTGGCAAGTGATTCTATGTTGTGCAGACAGCTTTAAGCTAACCCTTGAACAAGGCAGGGGTTAAAGGTGCTGACCCCTGTGCAGTTGAAAATCTGTTTATAATTTTTGACTCCTCCAAAACTTAACTATCCTCATTATCCAAGGGGGATTTATTCTAGGCACCTTCCCACATTGCACCCCTAAGATATAACAATCTGTGAATATAAAATAGTATAAATCAGTGCATACAGTTGGCTCTCTGCATATGTGACCTCCCAAACCATGGATTGAAAATAGTGCATGTCGCCGAAACCGGTTTGGCTCAGTAGTAGAGCATCAGTCTGCGGACTGAAAGGTCCCAGGTTCGATTCTGGTCAGGGGCATGTACGTTGGTTGGGGGCACATCCCCGGTAGGGGTGTGCAGGAGGCAGCTGGTCGATGTTTCTCTCTCATTGTTGTTTCTAGCTCTCTCTCTCCCTTCCTCTCTGTAAAAAATCAATAAAAAAATATTTTAAAAAAATAGTGCATGTGTTTTTTGAAAGAAAAAAATAAAATCCATTTCCAGTTGGTGTGGCTCCGTGGTTGAGCATCAACCTATGAACTAGGAGGTCACAGTTTGATTCCAGGTCAGAGCACATGCCCGCGTTGCAGGCTTGATCCCCCATGTGAGGCATGCAGGAGGTAGCCAATCAATGATATTTCTATCCCTCTCCCTTCCTCTGAAATCAATAAAAATATATTTTTTAAAAATCCATGTAAAAGTGGACCCACACAGTTCAAACCCATGTTGTTTAAGAGGCAACTGTATTAAAAAAGTAGTAATTATATGCCAATATAGCCAATTATACACTATCATGTCACAATATATACAATATCACAAATAAGGTAATTTATACAAAATTATCTCTTACCTTGCCCTAGTCAGTTTGGCTTATTGGATAGAGTATTGGCCTGTGGGCCAAAGGGTCCCAGGTTTGATTCCGGTCAAGGGCACATACCTCGATTGCAGGTTTCTTTCTGGCCTGGACTCTGGTTCTCTATCTTTCTCTCTCTTTTACTCCCCCTAAAAATCAATGGAGAAATATCCTTGGGTGAGGATTAACAACAACAAAACAAAACAAAACAAAAAAATTACTAATCTCTTAAAAATAACACCACCAATTTGGTACATTATTTTCATTTACAAATGAGGAAATAGGTTTACAGAGTGGAAATAATCTGCCCAATTAGCTCAGGAGGTGTAGAGTGAAGATTTAAACCAAGGTTTGTCTAACTTCAAAGACTATGTAGTGTCTTTTCCATTGCCTCTAGTCTTAACCTAGTTGTAAAAATGAATTAATATATTTTTGAACTATTATTTAATTTTTATTGCATATTAAGCTGGTTAATAAAAATTTGATCATTTCTAATAGCAAGTAATCTGTAAAAGCATTTTACTTTAAGGATTAATACTTTTTTATATTATCAATACATTATTTAAAATAGCTATTCCATGGTTAAACTGGTTTTGAAAAGTGTTCTATCATGTACAAATACAATGACTGCTGCCCAAATTTTATTTGGTTTTTGTTGTAATGTTTTTCTAGTGTCTCTTTAAAATGTAGAGAAGTTACAGTTCAATACACACAGGCAATGGAGTCATAACAAAAATTTTAAGTCATTTCCCCACTCCTTTATGCAAGATATAAAGAAGCTTTCCTAGCTTATACCTCTATTCTGTCAAAAGAAATCTGATAGATTTTTTTCAATCAAAAAGTATTATTTTCTTATGATGAAGAGAATGATCAAGAGTATGGCCTCCTATTAAGTATAAAAGTCATTTGTGAGGGTTTTACTTCATGTTTAAGCAAAAAATGAAATTAAGGTGGTCATGAGCTCAGGTGTCAGATATATAGTTGTTTACCTAGTTCTTTTTTTAAAAAATATATATATTTTATTGATTTTTCTACAGAGAGGGAGAGAGATAGTTAGAAACATCGACCAGCTGCCTCCTGCACACCCCCTACTGGGGATGTGCCTGCAACCAATGTACATGCCCTTGACCAGAATCGAACCTGGGACTCTTCCGTCCGCAGACCAACACACTATCCACTGAGCTAAACTGGTTTTGGCTGAC